CTTTTTTCAACAAAATTTTGCGAAATAATTGCAAATTTTGTGGTTTCTTGGCTTACTTTTGCCTTATTTTTTCTGAAAAAAACAGTTTAAAAATAAAATCAAATGAAACAAACAAATTAACGTCAAAATCAATTCTTTTTGTGATCTTTAAGCGATTTTGGACAAGATTTTGGCAGCTTTTAATTCAAGTAAATCGAGCAAAACAAACCATAAAATAATATCAATTTCGATTTAAGTTTGTAATTTTTTAGCCTGTGTAAACAAAAATTTTCAAAAACATGCTTAAACAATTGAAAATGGCAAAAATTACTCCATATTTAGCCTATTTTGTTGAATTTTTGGTTGGTTTTTAACGAAATTATGCAAAATAATTGTGTTTCTTATTGGAAAATGTACGTACTAAATAAAGCATTAGAAAAAGGCAAAATTGCCATTTTTGACCTATTTGGTAAAACCTCCTAAAAAAAAACAAATATGTATTTATAACTATTTTTAATAGGTCAGGTTAGGTGGTTTTCCGATTGAAGAACATAGAAAATGCTCGAAAGGAGCAAAAATTTTTACGAGAAACATTAAAATATTAAAAATTGTACTCCATCCCATATTTTTCTAAATGCTGCAAATACAGTTAAAGATATAAGAAAAACGTAAAAAAGAAAGTTGCAGAAAATAGTCCTGAGACCATATCTCTATCTTCAACCGTTTAGGATTAAATTAATTTTCCGATACTTGAACACCGGTAAAAATAAAACGTAGTCGTCGCTTCAGCGTTTTTGGGGTCTAAAGCGTTGAGGATAGAGATATGGTCTCTCCGTTTTTTTAAAGAAAATTTGATTCTCTAAAACTTTCTTTCTTACATTTTTTTTGTATCTCCAACTGTATCGCAGCATTTTGAAAAATATGCAAATTGGTAAAAATTTGAAATTTTCTTAAACATTTTTGTGTTTGCGTTTTGTTCCCCGTTATCTAAAACAGCCATTTTTTATTTCATCGCTCTTAAAACTTAGGCGGGGTTTTCTATCCGTAGCTCCGACTTAGTGTCGATAAAACAGTTTCCTGTTTTTAAAAACAAATAAAAATTAAGTCTACTTACCAATTTTTCGTTTTCACGTAGCTGGAGATGATATCGATGGAAAATCCGAACGATTTGAAAAAGCAGCTGGTGGTGGAGTTCGAAGGAGAGCAAGGAATCGACGAGGGCGGCGTCTCAAAAGAGTTTTTTCAATTAGTAATCGAAGAAATTTTCAATCCTGACTATGCAATGTTTACAAGTCAGAGTGAGACAAGCACAGTTTGGTTCAATCCTACAAGTTTCGAAAGTGACGCTCAATTCACATTAATCGGAATAGTGTTAGGACTTGCCATTTATAATAATGTTATCTTGGCCGTGAATTTCCCTATGGTACTTTACAGGAAACTGTTAGGTAAAAGGGGGTCATTTGAAGACTTACAAGACTGGAATCTTGTGAGTGCGCAGTTTTGGTGTGTTTTCTGACTAATCAGTTCTTTGTAGACTTTATATAATAGTTTAAAACAATTGTTGGAATATAATGAGCCTGATGTGGAAGAGGTTTTTATGCAGACGTTCCGAATTAGCTACCAAGATGTGTTCGGTTCTATTATAAACTACGACTTAAAAGATCGCGGCGACGAAGTCAGTGTCACACAAGAAAATAAATACGTAATTATGGAAATTAAAATTTTTGATGGTGTTTGATTTTGGGACATTTTCAGGAATTTGTAGATTTGTACGCCGACTTCTTACTAAATAAATCAGTAGAAAAACAGTTCCGTGCCTTTTACAAAGGGTTCCAAATGGTCGTAGACGAGTCCCCCCTGGAATTACTATTCCGTCCGGAAGAAATCGAAATATTGATTTGCGGAAGCAAGGTAATAATTTTTCGTCGCACATTGGACCAATAAATCACTTTCTTGTATAGAATTTCGATTTTGACGAGCTCGAGAGTTCGACCGAGTACGATGGGGGTTACACCAGCGAAAGCCAAATTATCAAAGACTTCTGGTCAATAGTTCACGCTCTCTCCTTCGAAGACAAAAGAAAGCTACTCCAGTTCACCACAGGGTCGGATCGAGTACCGATTGGGGGTTTGAGTCGACTCAAATTGGTAATTGCAAGGAATGGTCCCGACTCGGATCGATTACCGACGGCACATACTTGTTTTAATGTTTTATTATTGCCGGAATATTCGTCGAAAGAGAAACTTAAAGATAGATTGATCAAAGCCATAAGTTATTCGAAAGGCTTTGGCATGTTGTAAATTGATTTTTGCTTGTGAATACTTTCTTTTCGAAATAGAAAATACGATTTCAGTTGTTTACTAACAAAAGTTGTATTTTGTTTGAGTAACTTAATATAATTATTTAAAAAATAATCGCAAAAGCTCCTTATTGAATGACTTTTATTCTAAACAGTACACTGTCGGTAATACAGGTCACTAGAATTAGTCATCTCTTATTTACTTGTAACACAAGTTGTTGAATTCGCACACTGACCGCTTGTCTTATCAAACGCCTGGCCACTAGGACACGTGACTACTTCATAGTCCCACCACCACATGACTGGAAGGCAGTGATAGTATTGGTCACATCTGGACGCAGGAAAATTAGCAGTTTGGTTGCAAATAGGGGCTGTAACTATATCTTTTGTTTTATTGATTATACTTGGAGCATTTGTGCTAACCTGGGGGTGGGGTGGTAGGTGGCGCTGTTGTCGGCGGTGGTGTTGTAGGTGGGGTTGTTGTCGTCGGCGGTGTTGTAGGTGGCGCTGTTGTCGTTTCGCTCGGCACACACCTATTTTACTATGTAATCAAATTGTAAAAATATTAACTTACGGAAAAGCGGCAGTACTATCACATGTTTGACCTGCTGGACAATTCGTTCTATCCCCAACTAACAAAAATTTGCCATCTATATTAGTACAAAATTGATATGCGGTAGGTGTCACACAAATGAGCCCAGTAGGTGGACACGTAAGTTGTCCATTTACGACCAAGAGGTGTAAAGCCGCCTTAAAAAATATATTTTCTTCTGATTTTTTTCAATTTTTTCGCCTCACCAATAGTATCACACGCATTTTTTTATCACAAATGGGAATAATTAATCATTCTTTTGTGCAAAACAACGTGACAAGATAAAAAAAGCAAACACAAATAACAAAACTTTTATTTAAATCTATTTACAACATAATTATAATTTATGACATTGTTAAACTAGAACAAATTTCTGCAAATAGGACACGAACTTACATTGCTTGTACTGAACCACTTGTACTGAAAACAAATTCGAATCAATTTCGTTTTTGAGTCTCAAAAATGTAACTTACAAGACACGCCGAGTGAAATTTCTTTCTACAAGTCTGACAAGACAGTTTCGGTAATTGGTAGGTCCCTGGATGCAAGACAGCAAAACAAATGTAACACTCCTCAACTCCATCGAATTTCTTATCAAGATTGCTGTTCCACAGTGAGAGGCCATCCCAAATTCGGCCGTTTTGGTGCACTAGGTATTTTTTCAATTGCATGAGCCACTGTTTGTGCAAAGGCCCACCGATTTGTCTGTTGCACCTCACATCAGGGTCACCCAAGGGGTAATTTTGAGGTAAAGTTATCACTAGCTCCATCTGGGCCTCGTCGACGGTATAAATCGCAATCACTTCACGAACAGAAGGCACAATTTTAACCTAAAATTAAAGATTCACCACTAAATAACACATATTCGAATCTTAAACCGTCATATTCTTGAAGTTGTTTTCATGTTGGGTTATATCGAGCAATTCCTGGCTACACAATTGTGGTGAAACGTAAAAAGCTGTCACCTTTTCGACTATTTGAGTCACTTTTGTTTCAGTTTGTGACCACCACTGACGCACCAAAGCCGGTAGTTGGGCCAAACAGAATGAATAAATCCAACACACAACGTGTTCGAGTTGTTCGCTAGTACAAGGTTCTAAAAATTGATGGTTACAGAAAAAATCAAGTGTGTGACTCTCGCACCTTTAAAACTAAGACTCGGATTTTGGGAGAAAAGCTTACTAAAAGCTTTAGCTTTGCCCTCGCTATAGTGCAAAATTTCAGTCGGCATTAACTTAAATAAGTTATTCAAAAGCGATTTGAAATAATCATCATTTCTAAAAAAAAAAAACAACTACAATTTATTATCATCAAGTTGAGAAAGCAAACCTGAACCAATCAGCGTATTGGTACCTCAACTCAGGTGTTGATTTTTCACACATATTAAGTAAAACCCCCCACAGCAGTAAATAAGCATAAACGTAAGTGTAGGAATCTGTAAATGGAGTAACTTGGCAGCTGTCCTCGCCCAACCTACACAAAAAATTACAAACAGAAATTAAAAGTCTGTGACTTACTTAAAACTTGCAAGAACGCCATCTACAATAGTATGTGTTTGAAGTAAAATTTCTTTGAATTGCCCTATCGTAAATCCTTTGGTATTGGGTGTAGTACTACTATCCGACTGTAAATCAATTTCGATAAGTCCAGGTACTAGAATTAGCAACATTTTGTAGCCCCAAAGTTGTAAAATTGACACCGAGTTTGTAAGTAGAGCTGCGCATCGTTTGAGAATTTTTGACCAACTCGGTAACGTATTTTCTTTACTGAAAATCAACTTATAAACGAAATTATGGGTAACTTTGCCGAATTGTTGTAAGAAGGGGTGGTAATCCAGTGGACACGACGCTTTTGAAGCGAATTGTTCTGAAATTAGCAACATCGGTAATACAGTTACCTATTTCCGGAACTGCTTACCGGACAAATACAGCCATAATTGTACCAAATCTAGGTGAATGTTTGGTAAGAACAGTTCCTCCCACTCGTCCACAAATCCACTCTTGACGTTATTCCTTTTTAATTCGGTGATTTTTTCATTGAGAACGATGAAAAATTCCGAAACTGTAGCCATGAACGCTTGATTTTGCTCATTGTCGTAACCACTGCGAAGTTTGTAACAATTCGAAGCCCAGGAAGCTAAAGAAATGACACCGAAATCCCAATGTTGCCGACTCAAATTCTCGAATTTCACTTCAATCAGTTTAGTGAATAAGCGAATTACTTCTATTACAGTTTCAGAGTCGCCACAAGTCCTCTCTTTGCTGTAAAACACAATTCAGACACAGTCGGTAATACAGATCACTTACTTTTCAAAGAGAAACTTGGGGATGTCCCGATTTCGTAATTTCTTGATTTTTTCAAAAACTTCAGCTATTTGGACATCGATTTCGTCACAATGGGCTAGACTTCGGAGGATTATGACGTCACTGAGTACTGATGATGTGAAATTGATATGGTCGAAATCCAGATGTGGGCCGTAGAGTTGAGCCAAATGGAGTTGGCTTAAGTCACTTGAGGTTTGTTTGAAGTAAAATTTGAAGGTTTCTTGAGGTGGCTTGTCGAAGATTTCTTGATGGTACAAATAAACGACTTTAGACCAAAGACCCGAATTTGAGTCTAGTTGCGTTACAAATAACTCGACGATTTCGTCACAAACTTGCAATTTCTCCAGAGTTTGTGTGGTTTTCTCTTTGATAAAGTCGTAAAACTGTGTTAAGTTTTTGTAATATTTCGTCTAAAACAATACTGTTAGAAAATTAAAAACTAAATTGAGGATTTTTTACAATTTTGTAGTTTACAAGAAACGACTGACACATGGCGAGATCATACAGGACGTCCATAATTATTTTTTTATGGTCATCAATTACATAAATTATGTCTTTTGTGGCCGTTACATTTTCTTCGTCATCGCTTTGATTATCTTCCAACGGTGATGACAAAAGTGATATTTTGATAAAACTCCAGACAAAATATTTGCAAATTTCTTCCTCGCTCACTTCGGAAGTATCTTTCTTGTAGCTCTCAGGCCTACTTAAACTCCCAGTTAAATATTCAGCTTGGAGGCACAAATCCTCGATTTTATTTTTCCAAGTTGGTACAAATGATCGTTCAAAAAACAAACGGAACACTTCAGTCACCATAAACGGTTGACCGTTCTGCACCGCCTTGATAAAACTAACTATAGTTTCTATTAAACAATTCGTATTTCTGTCTGTTGGAAATTTCCCCAAGAAATTTTCTTCGACCAAATTGGCAAATTTTCCGATTAAATCCCGTAATTCGTCTTTGGGTAAATTTTTCGAAAAGGTGGTTATGACATCTTGCCACGCTGTGTTGACCTCCCATTCCGTATCATCACTTAGAAACTCCAAATCTGTGTGGTCGTTACAAGAAAACTGGAAAAGGGCCAATAGCAACTCTTCCCCGCATTTCAAAAGACTATTTTCGGTGTAGATAATGCCGGTAATGTAGGACGCTAGATGGACGCAAGAATCAATCGCGAACTCAAAACTTCGAGGTTCAAGAAGTGGAGCTTTGATTTTCTCAATTATTTGATTTAAAGTATTTTTATCGATTAGTAATTCTCCATCCTCATTTTCGGCCAATGCCAACTTGAATAAAGTCTTCAAATGTGGCGGACAATCAATTTTTAAGTTACAATCAGCGACTGACACCAAAAAGTGTCCAATTTCCGGCCGTTTTATCCAATTTTGGACACTCCGGTCTTGGTTGTAAGGGTGCGAAAACGCATTTTTGACACACCAAGCCAATTGACGATCGGACAGTTGCAAAAAAGACGCCAAAATGACATTTTTCTCATCATCGGTGACATAACTCAAGAGAATGAAAGCCAAGTCGACTAGAGTCTCACAAGACAATTCATCCGACTTCAACCACGCAAACAATTTATCATAAACAGACATCAAATTGTCCAACTCATTCAGTTTTTTGCTCAAACCAATGAGAAATTCTCGACTTTCGAACATACGAACCAGAGAGTAAACATTCGGGATCAAAATTTTCGATTTTTTGCCCTCAATTTGTGCAACATAGGAATTAAGTAGCGTATAAACCAATGAAGTCAAATTTTCTTTGTAGGAAGCATCGATTTGGGTGGCGCCCTCTAAGTGCGACTCACTTCGCGCCTCTGCTTCAAACTTCACTTTCAGTTGTTCTTTCGGCTTGGCAATTGTCTTCAAATGTTGCAAGAATACAACCGGTCTGTCGATCAAATCCTCATTTTCCTCCTCAAATTTTGATAAGGATTCAATAACATTGCTCCAGAATAGACCCAAATATTCTGGATAATTCGCCAAATTTTTATTCCTGTTCCAGTACTGCACCAGAAGAGCGACTTGGTGGAACACAGTGCGATAACAGACTTGTTCCGCCCTCAAACTCCACTCAATTAAAGGCAACAAATGGGATTTTATGAGTTTCACGCAAAGATCGAAATTATCTTGATTAATTAATATCACGTATTGTAAACATTCAACTAGAGCTGCGACCACAGCCGCTGATTCGGATCGACTACTTATCACACTTTTTCGTTTCAATCTAAATCAAAATTAATATAATTTAAGACAAAATTGAGTGAAACGTCTCACCCGCATCTTAAATTTTCGAAAAAACTGTCATAAAATTGGTCCACACGTACAGATGGGGGCAACTTATGCAAAAGTGACAGTAAATTAGGGTAGATAACAGTCGCATTGCCTTGTCCCCCTTCCCTTAGTACTTTTTTCAGTCTTGATAAATAACTTTTTTCAACATTGATAGGCTTCCACCATTCCTGGAAAAAATGTTTTTAAATGGAGAGTGTTTCAAAACACGCACCCCCGAGAAAAATTCCAAGTAAGATAAGATATCAGGAACATGGAAAAGATATTTAAAAAATTCTACCTGTCAAAAAATTTTGACATTTGTTTTTTGACAATTGACTTTTTTTTGTTTTCATGGCATCTTACCTTAATGACACTTTTCTCTGTGGCTCGAGTTCTGAAACACCTTGTATGTGTAACAAAAAGATGGAAACAAAGAGTAACCTGAGTTTACTCAGGTCAAAACAAAGCGAATTAAACCAACTTACCTCTATACAAAGTTGCACCGTTTTTTGTTTAAATTAATAATTAATTACATTATTGTTAACTAACATAAACATACATAAAGACACTAAAACAAATTTTTATACCTATAATACAACTTTAAAAACAATATTAATACACTGGCGGACACGGAATTTTGAACATCAAACTTATGTCCGTTCAAAAAATGTCAGTGTAAGCCCCGCTTTATTGTCAAAATGATTGACGTTTGAAATTAAAATTTCATAGTTTTAGTTGAATTTTAGTCTTGGCGTTGATTTTCCAAAACAATAAACAATATGTGTTTTTATACATATAAGTTCAATAAATTATTTTGATGTGTTGTCATTTTTTCTCTAGCTTTTAGGATAAAAATTACAAAAATCGGAAGTGAGGTTAATTGCCTAAGGCCCGAATGACAAATCGTCCAAAATTCCGTGTCAGCCAGTGTAAATGACCAAAGTCCTAAATTTTGGCACATTTACTTAAATTATTTTTTTCAATCTAAAACCAAAGTCGATACAATTTTTTTAAGATACGAAAATTGTTTAAAAATAATGTACCTTTCGGATAAAAAAGAATTATGCTACTTCAATTACATTACAGGATGTTCAAAAAATCCCCCACTTCCTTGAAAGGGAATAATTGGGTAGTCCCCCAGAATATTGAAGAAATGTTTAAAAAAATCTATCTGTACCAAAAATTTTGACATTTACTTTTTTGACATTTGACATTTTTTTAAGTCTATTGATGATCTTGTATATGTTTTTTTATAATTATTTACTAAAGGTAAAAAAATTTTGTCAATAAAAGCTTCAAATAATATTAAACAGAATTACAATTTAGGATACAGCTTCCTTGTTTCCTCTTCTAATAGCCTGTAACAAAAAAACTTTGAAAATTATTTTTCCAACAGAAATAAATGGAGTCAAAGTGCAAAATTTAAACTCTTACAACTTCGAAATTTTTATAGATAGAATTTTTTTAAATTTTTTTCAGTACTTTGGGGGATTACCCAATTACTCCCTTTCAAGGAAGTGCGAGATTTTTTGAAACCCTGTATAACAAAAATATGGTTTAAAATGTGTCAAGTTGTTAATAAGTACTTTACAATAATAAAAATAAAATGAAACATGTGGTTTTGATATTAAATAGCCTGTAACTAATTTTATAAAAACCGATTAATCCATTACAAAGTTATTAAAGAAAAACGAAAATAATTTTTAAACTTATATACATCGAAGTAGTCGTTGAGGTGGCAACCATGCGAAAAATCAAATAATCCTGACCTCAATCTTCCCTAAAAATTATTTTTTCTACATAAATGTATACCCCAGGTAACAAAAAATAATTAACAAAAATTAACAAGTTGATTAACATAGGGTAGCAAACTTAAAGATTTTTATCAATATTGATGCGATTAAATTTGTTCTGGATGACAATAATGAGACTTTTTGTGAATCTGCCTTTAAATTAAAGATGGATTTAGACTTCTACAACCTACTTGATATAGAGGTAAGTTGGGTTAAATCGCTTTATTTTGACCTGGGGAATCTCAGGTTACTCTTCGTTCCCATCTTTTCGTTACACCCTGTATAAAATTGAACAAACATACTTGTCCTAAATCCATAATAAGCAACGAGGCATCCCATACAAAACCCACAACAGCAGGTTCGCTCTCATCTAAGTTGTTGAAAACAACCGGAACAACATTTTTATGTTCCTCTTCTAGCAAAAATGGGGCCTTTTGATACAAAATTGAAACGACTTTGAACCAAGTAGCCCGAATTTGGGCCGTTTTGTGTGCTGCCAACTTAAGAAACCTTGAATTACTTATAATTTGCTTGTTGAGTTCTGTGCTTTTCTCAATCTGCTCCTGAGTTAGAGTGTTTAAATACAAAGAGTAGCCTTGAAGACTCGAAATTATAATCCTCTCAAATTTCGCTTCAGCATCCTCATTTGTGCCATGTTTTGGATTGGTTTCAATTTTCGAAGTTAAATTATCATAAATGTAAGTCAAGATTTCTTTTTGGCAAAATATGACACAATCTTGGACTTTATTTTGTGGAAATGCAGCCTAAAATTTTCCTTTAAAAATATGACCCAAAACCGTGAAATAATTACGCTAAAGGCCTTAGTTGCGGCCGAAGCTGCAGGTGGGTAATTATCATATTGCGACGTAAACCAGGGTCCTATCAATTGTTTCAAAAACGGGGCTATCATTTTCTTATCTTTCAAAATAATCTGGTGGTGGGCATTATGAACCGCCTCTCTAACCCTATGATCCGTATCCGTGGCCAAAATACTATACAACGTGGCCCAAAACGCCAAAATCGTCTTAACAGCTTCTGTCTCAGAGCTGGCGATAAGGTCGCAAAATTCCTGCAAAGCCTAAACTACTCAATTAAAAATATTACAATTAAATATTACTGTTTACGTCACCTTTAATTTAGTCGTGCAATCCTTTTTGTTCATTTTCTTGAAAACGATCTGAAAAGCTGGCGACACCGAGGAGTCAAATTCCTCCGTTTTCAACAAAGACAGGGTTGGGGGCACAAACCGAATTTCCTTGACTGCGGCAAACTGAGGGGCTTGCGAGGAGGACGCGAGCAATTCGGCGCTGCGACCACTGCTGGAAGGCTTTAGGAAGTGTCATTTGAGTGGGGGCTGTTGGGGCTGCTTACCCTGGCATTGTTTTTGATTCTTTGGGCTTGTTTGTGTTTGCCACCCATTCTAACCGTCGAAAGCGTTCACTTGGCAAAATATTGTTGATTTAAACACTAATAATAAAAATCGTATGCTGACAATGCTGCGACATAACCTCAACTGTCATTTCGTTTATTTCATTGTATTGTTGGTTGCCTAACTCACACCTCGTATTTTTTTGTTTTAATTATCAATGCAATCTGTATTATAATTACAAAAATTACTTAAATTAAGCGAATGATTGTTGTTTTTATCATTTTAATGAAAATCGAAGAGTTGCCAACACAGGAATTGTGTTGTTTGTGATTTGCCGAATATACAGAGTGGCTCAGTTAAAACTTTGAAAAACTGTTTCTAAGGTAAAGAGTAACAAGTTTTGTCACTTATAATTATTTACCTTTTGTGATTTGTGGTTTCCCTAGCAAGTTGTGTTGAAAACTATTTACAAAATTGTGACAAATGTTTTAAATTTTAAAATTCGAGCCAAATCGCCCCGTTATCTGTTAAATTTCGCCACAGTTTGGCTTTATAACATGTGATTCCCTAATCATTGTCTTAATTTGCCCATAACTTGCTTAAAAATCCGTAATTTTTGTGCTTTGTGAACTTTGACCTTGTCTGGTGTTTTTAAGACCTTCGGTGTAGAACATACATAAAAAATGGTAATGGGACTCCAGCACCGCATAATTATCGCTCCTTGACCTTTTTCTACTTTCAGTTGCAGAAAAGTTTGTTCCTAACCTCAAATTTGTGCAAGAACTTGTTCGTGTTGAGCCCCCCGTTGTTGCGAAGAATGTCAAGTGTGGCCGATGATGTAATCTTCGATAATGTTGGAGATAAAGGAGTGATAACTTTGAATCGACCCAAAGCCTTAAATGCGTTAAATTTATCAATGGTAAATAAATTGTACCCCACTTTGGTCCAATGGGAGTGCGAGAAAAGTCTCGTGATTATCAAGGGGGCTGGAGGTAAGGCATTCTGCGCCGGGGGTGACGTCAAGTCGATAGCCCTCGCCGGCATGAAGGGTGAAAAATTGGGCCATGCCTTCTTTAAGCAGGAGTATAAAACTGACGGCCTTATTGGTACTTACAAAATTCCCTACATTGCGTTTATTGACGGGATCGTCATGGGGGGCGGCGTGGGGCTCTCAGTCCATGGCCCCTACCGTGTGGCCACTGAACGTTCAGTCTTCGCAATGCCTGAGACCCAAATCGGACTCTTCCCCGATGTTGGAGGCTCCTATTTTCTCCCCCGACTGAGAGGCAAACTGGGGCTGTTTTTAGCTCTGACGGGGTACCGCCTCAAAGGAGTTGACCTCCTCAAAGCAGGCATTGCGACCCACTACGTCGATAGCCAATGTTTGGAGGCTTTGGAGGGAGATTTATTGAAATGTGATGATAGTCGAAGCATTGACAGTACTTTGAGTAAATACAGTCGTAAAGACAATAGTGTATTCACCCTTGAACCCATGATGAAGCAAATTAATAGTTGCTTTTCGGCGGGGTCTGTGGAGGAGATTATTGGGAGGTTGGAGAAAGACGGATCGCAGTTTGCTTTGGAAATGGTCAGTTTGTTGGGGAAAATGTCACCAACAAGCCTTAAGGTCACGATGAAACAATTGGAGTATGGGAGTAAAATGACCTTAGAGGAGTGTCTCCAGATGGAGTACAGAATCGCTGTCAATTGTTTGGCCAATAAGGACTTCTACGAAGGTAATTATTCGTGTCGATAACACAGGTCACTGTAATTGCAATTTTTGCAGGAGTGAGGGCTCTCCTTATCGACAAAGACCAGAAACCCAAGTGGAATCCTCCAAAGCTCGCGGAAGTCAGTTCTGCACTAGTCGAAAGCCATTTTGCAAAACTTCCTGAAGATCAGGAGTTGCGCAACAAACTGTGATGTCCTTGTTATTTGCAATAAAACAATTGTTTATACAAAGCGGTTTTATTCAACAAAAAATATTGTTTTTTGAAATTGATTTAAATAATTTACACCAAACCATCGTAGGTAACTAGCAACCAGTGCCGTAATTCGCTAATAACTTGCGGTGGTTTAAAACATTGGACTAAATATTTATCTAAAAATGTCAACATTGACAAAAATCAAAGTTCAGAGTTGCAAAAAGAAAATGGACACAATTGTTTTTAGAGGGGGGTAAAACGATACAGAATTGAGTCACGGGTAAGTGCAAACAATTGAATAACACTTAAGACGCTACATTTTAATAAATGATTTCGTGAAATGTAAGACAATACAACCTTAAAATATAAACAAACAAAATTTTACCCGTGACAATTCGCAAGGTTTTTGTTTAAATTCTTAACGGTATACAAATTCACAAGTATATAAACAGTCCGTTGTCACACCGATGATGTTATTGAGTTGTTCAATCGATGTATTGTGCGAGCCAACGGAACCCTTCACCGTAGCCTTGCCTCTTGAGGATCGAGCACATGAACAGTTCGAGAGGGCGCGCTGATAGCTCCGAACGCGGCACTTTTCCCTACGAAAAATAATGGAAAAACGAAAGTGTTACGTGTAAGAAATTATTATTCACAATTACTTTAGAAATATGCCGATTGTTGTTAACCTTTCAGATGTAAGGAAATACACCATTCCATCCCTTGGTTGGGAAGTAATTTATTTAGTGAGCCCATCAAATGTCAAAAACGCTTATTTGTGTGCAAAAAAACAGATATGTTATCAACTGAATAACATGTATTTGTGAGTAAAATACCATATAAACCTTCGATGGGAATTTCATTACAACCTGAGCCTATGGGGTAATGAAATACGTTTATGTCAAAAAAAATTGCAACACATTGAAAATAAATAAAGTTATTATTAAATTATTTTTCTTTTCTAATCTCTGGTCACATTTGGGTATAATGTAAGTTTCCTATTAAAATCTAGGTAAATATCTCTAATAAAAAAAATATGAATTTTACATTTTTTACTCTATTGTTTTCCCAATTGTTTCAAAACAAAAAAATATCAACAGCAACTTTATAAAATAGTGTGTAATGTTCAATACAGAGTGTAACAAAAAGTATCCTAAGATTTCCCAGGTCAAAATAAAGCGATTTAACCTAAGTTACTTTTATACCAAGTTGCACCGGTTAAAAGTTAGAAGGCGTCAAAGTTTAAAAATTATAATTTTTTTTTATTTTTAACTTTTTCATGGATTAAATCGATTTTGATCAAATTTGGTACAGGCAATTTAACAATAAAACCACATATTTTGGTGCTTATTCTTTTAGTTTATTATTATTGTGAAGTACTTATTAACAACTTGACACATTTGAGGCCATATGTATGTTATACGTAATCCGGTTGCCGTAATTCTTTTTTTATTCGAAAGGTACAGTTTTGAATCCATTTTTGTATTTTATATAAATTTTTGTATCGGCCTTGGTTTTAGACCAAAAAATAATTTAAGTAGATGTGTCAAAATTTCGGACGGTGGTCATTTATTATCAATTTGATTTAATTTCTTTATGTATTTTCTGTTGGTTAACAACTATTAATTTAAACAAAATCAATTTTATAAAATAAGATGTAATATTGCAGAATTTTACAGCTATAGAATTTTGAACGTTCAGAAAGTTGAAACAATTGAAGATAATAAAATTTTGTAAACACTATTTTAAAGAAAATTTAATTCTCTACAACTATTTGACTGACCGTTTTGTTGTAAATAATCGTTTTCGATATATCTCTACTTAAAAACAACATGGCAAATCGTAAACTCGGCCTGAAATTTTATTTAACACATTTAAAAATACTTTCCGGTGGAATATCTGTAAAAATTTTTTCAGGCTTGTAGACAATTTAATGTACTAAATATCAGCAAAATTTAACTTTTTGTTTGGGGTTTGAATTATTTTGGGTGCATACACATTCGTTCGACACCGCCGTTAATTCGTAAAAATTTATGATTGGTTTTGGCGTTTATTCTCTAAATTCATATGGTGTTTAATTTTTTTTAGGACACTACGTAATCGCAAGGCGAAATATAAAAAAAACATAATGTTTAAATTTGCAGACATTTTGTAGTTTTATTAGTCTGGAGTTGATTTTTTTATGCGGATGTTATCTAAATATGCACTCCAGTGCTAAAATACCCTTAAAACTTTTACACACCAGAGAAATTTCAAACCACAAAGTAAAACTTAATTTTTTTTAAATTAGAGATTTTGAACAATTTGAACACTTATTTGTTGAGGGTTTAGCATTGATTTATGTTACAGCTGTGTAAATTTGTAGTATTTCAACATTACGGTATGTCCCCGGATTGAGTTTACAAGAGGAATTTTATTTTATTTTAAGATTTTTCGCCAAAACTGCAAAGGAAAAACATTTTTTGCTTTACCTGAAACGAGCAAATTTGTAATTAAAACTTATTACATTGGCGGTAATATTTTGACAATGATGTCACCTTGACAAATGAGTTTACGCAAGTTAAATAACAAAAATGTTTGTAAAAAATAAAATTTTAATAAACAGCAACTCAAAGAAACAGCTTTAAGATAAAAACCAAAGTCATTTTCAACAAGAACTATCATTATTTAATTAATAAATTAATTGTCAAAGTGACATATAGTTGTTAAATAATTAAGACCGCCAATGTGATAAGAATTAAAAATCAGAAAAAAATTAAAGACAAAATCAAGAGAAAAATTAACTTTTCTTATCACTGAATCAGAATAATGAAGTTTTAAGTACCGATTTGGTCGTTTTAGTTGAAGCAAAAAATGTTTTTCCTTTGCAGTTTTGGCGTAAAATAAAAGATAATTTTTTTTTTCTTCTTGTAAACTCAATCCGGGGACATACTGTACTTGGCAATTTTGAAGAAAATCACGAGATGCACAGAAGTGTTGACTCGCATATGAAACTTAAAAAAAAACTATTATTTTTATTTAATTAATTTCTCAATATAACAACTGATTATGTCAATGAAATATGCTTATTACACTGCCTTTCATTTCAGGTATCACAAGAGGTACGTTGCCATTTAAAAAAATATTGGTAGGGGCTGTGGAAAGTATATATTTTTTCATATGAACTAGTCAGCATTTTTATGATTATTGAATTCAGAGATTTTCAATGCATTTTTAATCACCGTTTTAAAGAAAAAGCAATAAAACAATTAGACTATTGGTGTAATTACCTTTCCAGTCGACTGCCCATACAAATCATAGTACATCCTGATCTCGTCCTCGGACGCAGCCCCCGGCAAGTCGATTTTATTGCCCAAAATGAGTACAGGACAAGACGAGAGAGTTTCGTCCGTGAGAAGCGACACCAACTCCTGTTTACTTTCTTCAAATCTGGCACGATCGTTGGCGTCTATCAAAAATACTATCGCATCGACAGCTGGGAAGTAATCTTTCCACACACGTCTCGCTATATTTTAAAAATCAATGATAACATCGAGTCAGTGTATCGTGTGATATACTTGCCTTGAGAGTGACCCCCTAGATCGAACGTCGTAAATCGCATGTTTCCGATAGATAACTCTTCCGACGCTGTAATTTGAAAATTAGCCGGTTTGCTATTGTCAAGGTCGCCGATTTGGTTAGTTAGAGATAACGGAAATTGGGTTTAAGTGGGTTCGCGATTGTTTCTGATTTTATTAACCCATTAACACGCCATTGATGATTTTTCAAATCATAAAATTGTTAGCAACATTTCTTGGAAACAAAATTTGTTGCTATCGGTTTTTACAAGCACTTAAACCCGCATTTCTCGTTAAGTTTTCGAAAAGAAGATCTTACTAGGATGCAGTGTGGGAAGATGCTGCGCTAGTCTGTCATCCTTGAGCATGTGCAACAAAGTAGTTTTTCCCGCATTGTCGAGGCCCAAGAAGAGCAGCTTGCCCGACTTCTTCCACAAGCCTAAATACAAGATTTAGTTAGTTTCGGTTCGGTCAGACTCACCTCTGGTGTAAGGGATGGAGTCAATCAACCCTTCTTCTAACAACAGTTTGATCAAGCTGGCTTTGCCAGAACCAGACAAACCAAAGAATAAATAACGACCTTTGCGTCTCACACCTCAGTAACAGAATTAAAATTTTAAAAATGGGGGCGAAATTACTCACCTAAATAACCCAAGACGCCAGTAAACCAGTCCCAAATGAACATTTTTCTGAAATCAAAACAATAGGGTTATAACCTTGATGTTCTTGTGACTCAGTTGATTCTATTACGGTGTAAATACGTCCAGTTTGACTGGAAATGGCTTCGGATTAATAATAAGTACAAGATCATTGTGACAAGACACTTTTTGGGGGACGAATTTACAACCGAAGAGAGACTTTTACAAAATTATTAGAGAGCAAACAGGGACTTACGTCTATTTTGTTTTAACTTTAACACTAATAATGGTACTTTTGACGCGTTTTTCTGTTTTTTTGGGCCTGGTTCAAAGTTTACCAGTAAACGGGACTGCTGTTGGCACTTGAAGGGTGATGTGACACGCGCATTGCCAACCCGAACACCACAAACAACAAAATCACTAAATCTCAAACAATTATTTAATCTTTCTTGACCAAAACAATAGATAACAACTTAAAATCATCACAAGTGCTGTTCAATGATTACAAGGCAGTTTTTCGGTATAAATTTAGCCTTGTTTTTGCCAACTTGTGATGACAATTTTCATAGATCGCGTCCTACTATTAAGTCGTATAAATTAAGTTTTTTAAATTTACTGATTTCGTATTAATTATTTGTTTATTTGAAAGTAGCCGAATCATTGAAAGTGGAACACCACGTCATAACATAACCGGTTATCTATTTTTTTGTGAATTACTTGTGATGACGTCCTCCAATGTCAACCTGTCAAACCAAAACAATCAATATATTTCTTTTTTCCAAGAATTACCCAAAAAACGCAACAAATCTCAAGTGGCATTAATAAGGGGCTATGAAGGCCTCCAGTTGAGTGACTCCAATGAAGAGAAATCGGAGTATCCGAGCTCTGCCTTTAGATAACCTCAATCTCTTCAGACACCCACCCCCGGATTCCTCACACTCTTTGCACAATGACAGGCTTTATTTCGGTGAGGAAATCACTCAAGAAAAAACGCAAATTTTGTCGAGTGACGACTCGGATGTCATCTTGACGAATATAAGAGACTGGGGGAGCAAAAGCTCCTCAAGCTCCCTCAGTTGGGGCGAAGAGTACAAAAGTGAAGCCTCAAAGCAAGTCAGGGACGAGTTGGAACGCATGGACCGAGTTTTACGAGGAGAGGAACCAATTCCTAGCAATTACGACCAAGAGGAATACCAAGAATGGATGGAATTTTTTCCCAATTTATGGTAAATGCAATCTCACGTCTCGGAAGCCGACTAATTATGTTTTTGTAGTGTTTTTGGCACAAAAACCTGCATATATGTTAATACAGTTCAAAGCACAAACGATTTCGAAGAAATCCTCGCAATTCACCCTGAAGATAACTGTGATAAGGTCGAAACAAGCGACCGGGTTAAAAAAGCTGTGATTGATCAGATTTACGATAAAATCGTCAAAAAGACGCCAAAAATGACACTAAATGACAGTATTGACTTTGAGAATTATTTGAAAATTTCGCCGATAGGGGGTTCTCGTTTGCCTCGGCGCCAGTCTTCATCCCGGTCTTTGATGTCGTCTCATATTTCCTCATCAAAGTGGATGAAAGATGACGATTACAGTTCATTGCCGTTCGTGTCGACTAGAAACGGACAAGCCCCCCCGAAAAGCATCCTTAAGAATAGTCTAGTGCTGCCCCCTATCCAGTCAAGGTCAGTCTTGTCGAGTAAGAGTACGTCAGCACTGTCTCGTCGCAAATGTTCGGGTTTGAAATAATTTGTAAATCTGTGTGTATTTATTCAAATAGAGCTTTATTTTCGAATATTCGCACATTTTTATGTACAATTTGCATCTTTATTTAACAATCATTAACATCAACAACAGTAGTAATTAAATTGCTCGGATCGTGTACCGGGTGCAGTCATACCGTCCCGTGGACTTGTAACTGGTAGAAAATCCATAATAAAATACCTAAAAAAAGCTCTAATCTATGAGAGCGTCGCTCATAGAAAAATTCGAAGCGTGTACATTGACCTGTGTGTGGATAGATGGCGCTGTTCGGTGGGCGCCATTTTGTGGGAGGGGTCAAGAACCGGCGGTAATTTCGAAGATTAGTGACGGTGGGATGATCTGAATTACATAATAACGTTTAATTTATAAATAACAAGACACACATGTGAGATTGTAGCTTCAATTCGCCTTTTGTCAGAGATGGGTCCTTCGACTAAACACTGAGCGACTATAAAGCACGTCGAGGGGGGGATTTTTTGGTGTATCATTGTCTTAAAATATTGCTAAACAAGGTAAAACCGTACCCCTAGCCCTAAATCCCTAAAAAACTTAACAGTTGTCACACAAACGTATCGTGTCGAAATCAACTAGAACTATCAACTAATTATTTACAATATCACAATTTAAATATTTCTTTGAAATATACATATCTTACAATTCCTGTAATAACGATGAATAAAGTGAGTTTCGAGTCGATCAAAGAAACAAAATATAATTAGGTCATTTGAATACCCACCTCTGTCCTCTCTAATTATTTACATCATTTACACAACATATAAAAAGCTCATATTTCACTCAGTCTATTCACATGGCACAACAGCGTTTAAAAAAAATTTCAGCGTCTATAGATATCTTACAAATATTTTACGAAGAGTCCACAAATAGGTTTAAAAGTTTGTTAGTATTGTAGCGACCTCACACGAGTTAGTATAAATTACACCCACAGTTAAAATAAAACAACTTAAAATCAAGAAACTTAAAATTAAACCCTTTAATTATGGGCCTACACAAAACACAACCATTGGTAAACAAAACGAAAACACCCATTGGAAATAGGAACTACTGGAATGGTGGGTACAATTTTTGGACCTCTCTTGTCTTTAAATGTACGAGTACGGTCCGTCGGTAAGGGCGCTACAAAGCAGTAGTCAGGAGTTGTCGTCTTTGTTCGTGCCGCCTCCACCCGTACCGCTGCCCTGGCCGGTGCCCCCACGGCCCCGGACTTGCTTGTACTCGAGACCAGGGTCGAACTGCATTAGCACAAATACCTACAAAGAAACATATTACTCTTTTTCAACTGAAATTTTGGCTCTGAAAAATGTCAAATAGTTAATAGGTTTTTAAAAATAGGTAGTGAAAAAGTTTTCTTTTATTTTTGAAGCAAAAATAAAAATGCAGTTTGAACAAATCTTAATTTAAAACTGCAAAAATTTAAAAAACTAAGTGGCATAATTTTTAAAATTATATTTAAAGACTGAAATGTGAAATATGTAAAAGAAAAAATTGAACTGTTTATACTTTAGATATGCCACAACAGAAGAATTTTTTTTAAAGACGAGTCGCCGCTGCAATCTCCAATTATCTATTTTAATCAATGGCACAATTCCAACCTTTCCATTGCCAAAAATACTTGGCATCTGCGATACATTTATAAGGATATGTCATTACGCAGTTTTGGGTCCTTTCTCTTTAAAATTGTGACGTTAATTATGAAGTAAAACATCGTCAAGCTACTTTCTATGAAGTTAAAAAAAATTTGTTGATCATTATCACAACCTGTAACTAAATACACAACATTCGGGGTGCGCTCGTAGTACTTTATCTTCTGTCGTAGTGGAAATTTTAACAAATAAGTACTGGAATACTTTCTTACTTACTGATTGTTGTTACAAATTTCCTATTTAAACTTACGCTGGATCAATAAAATATTTTACTTTTGAATTGCATTATGCAAATGTAATTATAAGGAATCTAATACTATCAAAGTGAGAAGAATATTATTTGTGAAACCGGCTTCATATCATTTAAGGAAAAAAAAAATATTTTGTAAAAAAAGTGTCAGTAGAATTTGAAAGTGTATACCACAGGTTTTTTATTTTTAAGAAGCGAACCTATTCGTCTCAGTTGTTTTTCAATTCGACTAAATTTCCAACGATTTGGGTGAACTCTATTTGAGTATTTTTCTCTATATTGTCTCTCAGCTTCCGCTCTATTTTTATTGCACTTAAAAAACACTTCAAGCTGATCTACCAATTCGTCGTAATTAATATCATCCATTATTAAAGATTTCAATAAGATTTATTGACAAATTAGGCTTTGTCAAACTAACAATTAAACGGTATCCAAGTTTATTGCTTTTTGCATGAAGACCTTGACAAGTAAAATCTGCCTACGTTGCAAAATTTGCAATAAAATTAAAAAAATTAAATTGTTTTCTGAGTGCATTATGTAAAGTAAAATGTAATAAATAGTAGTTTACCGTATTTTTCATGCCAATTATTATTGTTTTGAGCAAAAAAACATAGGTGTTCCATTTGAAAAACTAAATTTGGTAGCATTTCCGGCTACACCGGATGTGCCAAAAAAATTTGATACATTTACTAAGAAAACGAGGAATGAATAGTATAATTGAAAATTTAGTTTTTCAAAAAAAAAGTAAGTTTAGGTCTTATCGGCTTATTCCGAACATCCTGTATACAGGGAAAGCAATTTAGCAAGTACGACATTATTGACTACTATGAAAATGAATTTTTGAAAGATAAGATTCTCGATAACAAAAATCGTCTATTGCGGGTAAAATTTTGGTCACTTGAATTCTAATTATAGCAGCATTCTATTGTATAAATAATCTGAATTGAATAGAGAATTCATACAAAAAATAGGGTGTTCGAGTAAAAAATACAAATTGAATTTGTAATATACTTTCTGTAAGTGAAACAAAGCTTTATACTGTAAAGGCCAGTTTTGTGTCTTCCTTCTACATAAAAGCACAAAATGAAAAAAATGTAGTTGATAACGAATTTACAATTTAATTATTCACTGACCGCCAAAATTAACCGGCCAACTAATATTTAAATATCTAAAAACGAGAGCATTGTTTTTTTACTTTTTTTATACTGGGCTGTAGTGTGCAACAGAGACAAAATTAAGTTTTTACTGAATTCAGATTATTGCCCGTTCTTTTCTAAATAAGGACCAATTTGTTTCAAAATTTTATCTCTGGTATCCCAGAGATACAAAGCATTGAAAAAGACGTTGCTTTTTTAATGTTACTAAATATTCTTTCAGCAAGTAGGCGTAGTTAGACCGAAAATTATGGCTTATGTGACCAAAAGAGCACAATTACGTCTTCGAACACAAAAAAATCTGAAAAACTTGGAACTTTAAATGAAAACGGTTAATTACACAAGGCGACAAAAAAGTCATGTCGTGACAACTTGACATTATTTCATTTTCTTCGTCTCAGTAAGACAAATCAAATGCACTAAAAAAAAAATTTCAAAAAGTCCCCGCACTTTGAACAAAATAAAAAATCATTACTCAATAACTATTAGGCCGATTTCCTTCAAATAAAGACCATTCTAAAAGGATGGACTTGCCTTATAGAATGATATGCAATTTGAAATTGAATATTGGCAAACTTTTCTTTGAACAGTGTTCGAAGAAGTTCGAAATAGATCGAAGTAATCTAAGAAAAACCCTACGAGTAAATTTTTTTTTCTTCGTAACCATCGTGTAGAGCATCTTTTTAATAGGAAGAATCCAAATTTTTAAAATAATATACCGAGTAGGTTTTAAGATATGATTTTTTGAAGTTAAGCTCTGCTTTTTAGGTATTGCGCCATGGGAGAAATGCATGTTAATCTTACTTAAAATTGCATTTTTATATAAGTATTTGTTTTAAGATTCTCCTTATGCTTAAAAATGGTCAATTGCACCTTCTTTGTTCTAATCAGAATAAACAAAAACTGTTTCTTTACTTAAAACAAACAAAGAGTAACAAAGAGTACCTGCGTACTAAGTAAAGCAAATAAAGAGTTTTTTTGTTCTAAAAATGATCACTGATCATTGAGCAAAAAGGATCTAGAAGTTTAAAGCAGTAGCTTTAAATATAAGAACAAATCTTTTTCAAATCAAATCACTTTCCATTCAGATTTGGACTTGATCACTTTGTTCTAGCTTTTTGAACTTTTTTTGAAAATGTTCTGGGCAAATGCTTTCTCATCACTTTCGAGTGATGTTAAATGCAATAAGTCAGTTGCTTCGTGTACAACTGTTATCACAACAACTACTACCTATAAGCTAACTGAAGCTAATCGTAGAATGTACCAACAAAATAAATCAGGTGGCTTATTGAATTTAACATCACTCGAAAGTGATGAGAAAGCATTTGCCCAGAACATTTTCAAAAAAAGTTCAGAAAGCTAGAACAAAGTGAACAAGTCGAAATCTGAATGGAAAGTGATTTGATTTGAAAAAGATTTGCCCTTATATTTAAGACTCATGCCTTAAACTTCTAGATCCTCTTTGCTCAATGATCAGTGGTCATTTTTACAACAAAAAACTCTTTATTGGCTTTAATTAGTACGCAGGTACTCTTTATTTGTTTTAAGTAAACAAACAGTTTTTGTTTATTGTAATTAGAACAAAGAAGGTGCAATTGACCAATTGACCATTTTTAAGCAAAAGAAGAGTTTTAAAACAAATACTTATATAAAAATGCAATTTTAAGTAAGATTAACATGCATTTCTCCTATATGGAGCAATGCTTGATTAGCAAACCATAACTTTAAAAAATCATATCTTGAAAACTACTTGGTATATTTTTTTGAAAATTTGGATTACAACCAATAAAGAGATTAGAAAAAAAATATTTTGTTCAGAGTGTGTGGACTTTTTTATTTTTTTTTCTAGTGCATTTGATTTGTCTCACTGAGACGAATAAAATGATATAAAATTTGTCAAGTTGTCACGACATGACTTTTTTTTTGTCGCCTTGTGTTATTGGAAGCTTCCATGAGCCTATTTTGACGTTTTGGCACATTCGGCCTACTTAATACGAACATTCATTGAAATCTCAAATTTAATGCTTTTTTTTTGAAGTCTTATATCTCCCATGTCTCAAGAATTAAAATTATGGAAAATGTGGTACATAATCCAGAAAAGAATGGACAATAATCTGAAATAAAAAACAGTGCCTTCCTCTTTTGAGTATCACATTTAGAAGCCAAAACTAGAAATGTTATTGAATTAAATTATAATGATCTACAAAGTTTTTTCTTTAAGTTAAAGAAAAATTTGTCGAAATCCAACAAAGAATAACAAAAATATTGCAATGTATAAAATCGCAAAATTTTATTTGTCCGGTTAATTTTGGCGGCCAGTGTAGTTAAGCGTAGGTAATTTTTTTCAAGCAACTTTAGTTATTGCGAAATCAAATCAAACTCTAACATCTGGTAACCTACCTGATCAGTGGGCAACAACTGAAAATCATCGGGTGGATTCGTAATGACGTATCGTTTACTGCTCGCATCACACGACGAACTCGTATCCCTAAACCTATAAAGTCCTATACACAACATCCCGAACTGTTTTAGAGCAGCAACGAATAAGTCCCCATATTTTCCCGCCTCTCCGAACTGTGCCAACGGTCCATCGTAAAGTGAGATTTGACCGACGCGACATCTATCCCTATTCGAGAGACTATCAGGCGTGCTATAGCCCCCTCTTAAACCGGCACCTTCGGCTAGTATGAGCTCGAGTTCAGGTGTAGCACCTCCTGTTATCAGTGAACGAATCAAAGTTAAGGCATTTTGATTGAAGTACGTCTGGAAATAACAGTTAGTGTATTTTGGGGGGTTGGGTTGGCACCTACCGTTGACATTAACGAGTCCAATACACTAACAGCAAAGGCGGTACCACAAGCGAACGGCTGGGTGAGATACAGTTCGGTATCGGGATCGTCATCGTCGTCTTGATCCAAGAACTGTACATTACTGTCATTTACTAGCTCTAAAAACCCCAAAAATAATATTTTTTTGGAGGAAAAAGTGTGGAGACTGACCGGTTATCATAGGGACATTAGCCCCGTACACAGAGCCTCGCCTTTGGAGAATAATCGGGCTTCCAACAGGAGTACCAGCCTCGTTATCCCCATTAGTCTGGCTCAAAACCCCTATAGTATCGTCAAAAGTCATAGCTTTGATGTTCAGAGATGCTAAAATAGCTTCTTTGTCGGCTAAAGTCGGATCGTCGTTACTTGGCACTTTTGCTGATAAGATACAGCACATATCACATAAATTGACGTTTACGGCCCTCAAGTCAGCTCGACTCAAAGGCGAACCCTAGAGACACATTTTAAGAAAATTTGCAACTCCTCGAGAGGGACAAATTACATTCAAAACTGAAATTTTGGGCAAATTTTGCAACATTTTCCACTCCCTTCGTATGTAGTCAACTGAGCCCACAATGACGACGTGTTTGAGCTCATGATAGTGAAAATTGCTCGCTCTGAGTGGCATCACCAAATTCCTGAGACCGATCAGAGGCGAGTCAGGATCAGCAAAGAGACATACGACCACGTGACCGTTTAATACTGTCATAGCGGCTTGGTTCCGGTCCTGTAACGCCCCCCACAACATTATAATTTTTTTAACGATTTTGGGCGTCTTACAAGAATACACTCTTCGAGATTTTTCGCTGGTCCCCAATGGAACATCCCTGTGCTATCATACTTCATTTCAGTCTTCTCAAAGTCAAAATCTTTAGCTTGGTCATCGGCCAGGCCAACTGGGAGTGCGACACCGTTATTGTTCTGATTGGTGCCGCCACTGCTCCTACTGGTGGGCCTGGAACATGTGACAAGTTAAAACTACGCCCCTTGACCACTCGAGACGACAAACTTGCACTACGGTCTAGCTCATTCAACGAGGGAAAAACCTAGATCAAAAATCATGCAACGATCCTAGAAAAAAAAGGCTAAATCTATGGAAAAGACGTGAGTGGAATCCCATGCTGTTTCAAGTGGGACCGAATTATTGGTTTGACTATCAGCAGACAGCATTAGGGGGCGTTTGTTGTGGATTGGCTAAAAGTGGAAATTAAGTAGATTAAGAAGCGGAAAGAAACGAACAAGTGTTAAATCGGTTTGGTTAGGTTCTGTGTTTTAAGTATATATTTTATTATAAATACAACAACGAACAGAAACGAGCAAATCAGAGAAAAATCAACACACACTTCAGAAATTTACACCAATTTCCAAAATGTATCAAGCAATAAATTCCAGTGGCGTAGCTATCATACCGCAACCGGGATGTCTTTTACACATTTTAATCTAATTTAATTTTTTTACTGTCTCTTTATATTGAGACTTTCCACATAAAAAACTAACTAAAAAGAATATTAGATGAATTATGGCTATACCTCATCTACAGAATAACGTATAGCGTGTTTCAGAATAGCGCCCCAGAGAAAAATGCCAAGCAAGATAAGATAACAGGAAAAAATGTTAATGAAATTCTGTCTAAAAGAATTTTGAAATTAAATTTTGCACTTTGACCTCATTTATTTCTGTTGAAAAAATAATTTTACATGTTATTTTAACGTGGCATTTTTCTCTGGGGCGCGAGTTATAGATAAAACATCCTGTATGTAGACTGTCTCTTTTAATTTTTTCTCTCTTCCAAATATGTGTAGTAGATTTTTTTGCCCAAAACGGATTTTGTATTCGCAATTTACTAGATTTAAAAAAATGCAGTAACAATATTACCATTTTCTGTTGAGGTTTGCAAGGGCTTTTAACTATTGTTTCGATTTTATAAAAAAAGAGAACTTGGTAAAGGTTTAAACAAATAAACCAAAATTAAGCCCTTTTAGTCTAATATGAAATCGACTCTGACTTAAAATTTATTAAAACTGCAATAAAAATTCGTTGTGTTGATTATAGTCAAAAAAAGTGTTCGGGAAATTTGGATAAGTAGCTGCAACTCAATAAAATAGCTTTTTGTTATTTTATATGCAACTCATAAGTTGTTTGTCAGGTCAGGTCAGGTGTACACCCATTATTGTTTTTTTTAATAAGAGAAACAAAAACGTATTTTGTAATTTATGGAAGAAGATTATAGGAAGCATTCAAGTATACTAAAAAATATACACACAGGTCGCTAAAAACTATGGATACAGTTAAATATTATAGAAACTATTCATCAAAACTTTTTGAAATTTGGTATGTGCTTAAAAGTATTTAAATTCCATCGCCTTAGATGTTTATCAAACTTTATTTGTTCTTCGGATACAAGACTAACTTGATTTTTTTTTAATGGCAAGAAGGGTCAAATGTAATAGTTTTAAGAAGAGCAGTTTTTTCTGAGTTCTGTGATGTAACACATGCATATCTTATTTTAATCGAAAATTATCGAACTAATTAAATTTTGAAAAATGTAATTTTTTTTGGCCTTGAAAATGTTGTCTTTATCTATCGTTAGCTCTTTGCCGCTTGAATTTTGACCAAAAAATAAGTAAACTGTTTCCCAAATTTCAACGTCTTCTGATAAACCGTTCTGAAAATATTTTGCTGTATTCATACTTTTTAGCGACCCTGTATAAGCTTCTTGACAACAGATATTTTTGTCCTAGTTACTTAAAAGCTTATAGTTTCTACTGAGCATTATATAGGCTGTCCCAACCAAACCTTCTTGGACTCTGTTAAAGTCTGTCTATATTTGCTTGAATTTTATGACAATTAACTTTTTGGGTTTTTAGCAATAAAGAAACCCTAACCCCTCAATGGTAAAGGTTCGTTTGCTTCGAGGTTGCTTCAGCGGCCAGCTCGTTGCTTTGGTAACAATAGCTTTTAAATCCCTCATAAACTAGTTTGATAAGTCAAAACCATAAAATTCAATTTAAAAATAGACAGATTTTATAAACAAAATTAAAATGCTTCAAATTTAGAATATAAGTAAGTATTGTGTTTAAAACACTAGGCATATGATTTTTTAGTTGAAAATTGACAAAATTCATTTGATCCTTTTTTGTAGGAGGTAATTCAGAAATTTGTCATTTTCAAAATCATAGAAGTATAGTATTATCATAGTATTAGAATCTACAATGAGAGAAAATCAGAACCGATAGATGGCATTGGCAACGAAATAGGGCAAATACGAGTATAACCAAAAAGTAAAAGTCTAAAAACTCACAATTGTTTTCCTCATTTCAATAGCTACGAAATATCTACTCGAGATCAGCTACATTGCTGGTATTATCTTTTAACCCCACCCAAACGATGGTCCGAGACTTTTGAATCATCCTGTATAGCATATTTCGTATAAAAACATTCATTCCTTATTTATTAATTCCTGCATTTTTTCTTCATCTTTGTTACATAATTAAAAAAAATGAGTATGTGATATTTTTGGACCACCCAGTTTAGTAGTTTTTTCATACGCAACTGAGCTCTTATTAAAAGATTACTTTTTTTAAGTTTAGTCTTATCTAGCTATGCCACTGATTAATAACACAAGCAAATGCAAGCAGCAACAGTTAAAAAGTGAAAAGTGTAAGTACTAGCTTTAAGCGTACATGAGTTTTTTGACTTCATAGGCAAGATGATAGCCGGCATAAGTCGTAGTTTCCTGTTCCGGTGGTCTGAAAACAGCACACTGCTGATAGCACACCACATGTCAAACCAATAGAAATTTCAGAAAAAAATAGGAACCAACAATCACCCTATTTCCATCAGTGGCATTTTGGTAATTAAAAATTGTGCCAGACATAATAGTGGAGAGGAGAAAAAACCATGCAGTGCTTTCTAGTAGCACTAAAAACGCTTAATAGGGTGACGTGGCTGAGAAACCTATAGAGACTTGTAATTTTTTCAATTAATGTTTTTGCGAAAATGGATAATTTTTGAAAATTTTACCTTGAATTGTAACCAGGTGATACAATGTTTTCAGTTCTTGTCACATTTGGTTTTACTTTGTTTACTTGTTTTATTGAGTTTACCATGTTGGGGACTGTGCTGTTCCTGTGTTGGTTGGAATTGCGTTGAGTTACTGGAAAACACACAAATTAGAAGATCTACAAATGATAATTCGTAATTAGTTAATCCAAGTCTATATAACTGAAGATCTCATTGATTCGGATATTCGCACTCGAATTTGAAACAAGGAAGTAACACCGAAGGAACAAGAAGACGTCAGAAGAACATTCAAACAACATAAAGGAGGTGTTACACATATGACAATGACACGAACAATTTTCAAATCCGGTCGATTACCTATTGCACAATTCCTAGTCTTAAATGAACGATTTTTGGGTCTTAGACTGATTTTTATCAGTCTAGGGCCCAACTATGACCATAATCAACTTACAGTGCATATCGTCATGCCTGTTCATGTCACCTGTAAAGAAACAAGTTTCAATAACCTTCTCACAACTGCTATACGTAAGGTCACTACTCTACTTTCTAAAAAAGAAAACAATGATTGGTAAGCCTGGAGGATCCGGATTTGGGACTAGGTAGCAGAGTTTATCAAGAAGCGCGAAAACTTCAAACAAAAAACTTAGTGTTGTGCTCAAGGTTGGGATAAACGGTGCAAAATAAAGCTTAATTTAGATCCAATACCTCTGACATGAACTTTCTTGGGCAACTCTGGTGGTGTGAAAGTAGGAGGAGGATGATGGTCATCTGTAAACCACAAACCAATCTCGCACATTCAACTATAACTATATCCCCTAAGCTAACGTTACGTTTGCGTCCTGAGATAAAGCCACGTTCACGGGACGCAACGTAACACTAAACCAAGTGCCGACATGCAACATCTAGCATGCTACAACAAGGCAAAGACATGCAGCAAAGACAGTGGAAGAGATAGAGAAGATGGTGTCTAATAATTTTTCGATTTTGTGATCCGGTGGCCCTTCGTTGCTTAGAATACGACTTACTTGAGTAGGTGAAGTCCTCGCCTGCATACCAAATTAAAACGGGTGAAAGTTTGAGTGTAAGAGGTGATGGGGAGGAGCGACCGACAAACTCGGGGTTTGTCTGTCGCTGGGGTGAATGAGATGAGAATAATCAACCTAGACACTTTTTCTAATACACACCACTAAAATAACTCTCTCCTCACATCGAACTAACACATCAAGGTTTTTCAAAAATTTTCGGATCAAATTTTTGGAAAGTACAAGTGCTCCAGACAGACAGAGTAATACAAAACAACATTTAAAAACGAGCTGGTTTTTTGTTATTTACATAGAGAGACAGATCAATGTGTTTTCAAAACTGAACCAAAAAATGTGATGTGTGTCGTGATAAGTGATTATGGATTGATACGTACTTGCTCGGCCAACCATTTGAATGGCCCTCACGCCTTTCCTGAACGTTGCCACTGTACAGCGAACCAGACAAAAATCATCGTTAGTCGTAGCGAAATTCAGCAGCCTTTATTATGGCCTAGCTTCGAGCCAAAGAAGAATTAAACTTCTTCTTTAACTCACACATTACAAAAAACCACAAAAACAACAATATAGGAGCGATCGCAGGCCGCTAAAAAGTAATCTTCACACTCGAGTAACTGCTAGAGAGAAATAGTAGACAATTTTTTAAAACTAACAATTCGGAAAACAAAAATCAAGGGAAGTGTGTGTAACCCTTAAAACTCATTTAAATTAACTTCCATTTATCAAAAACTAGTTTACAAAAACTGCTACATACAACAAAGAAGGAAAAATTTGGAGAATTAAAAAATATCATTAAAAAATGTCAAGACATTTAAAATGTTTAATATAGGCAACGATTATTTATGTGTCTTCTAGAAAAAAGAACAATGAGAGAATTAAATTTTCGGAGAAAAAATGTTTTAATTTATTAACCTTCTCGGCCTATAATAAGCTACCTCTCCATCAGTGCAAAAATGATCGGTCCTACATTATTATCGTCGGTGTAAATAACAAACCCTGGGCTAATTGGAGTAGTAGGCGTGTACAGTGGTTGTAGGGGGGATAAAATAAATACTAGTGGGAGGAGTCGCCACGCCCAGCCCGATGGTGGGGGCAAAGTGGCCCGATACTACCTAGCTTAAAAACATCGTAATCGTTGCGTTGCAGCTGCCAAGTGTTAAAAAACCGATCCAAAAAGAAAATAAGCGCATTAGCTAAGCAGTTATATTATAGGGACGGCCTACCATCGAGGCATCTTTGATAGGCGGAGTTAAGGCCTTGTTTGACCATGCCTGTCTGCATCATGATCATTCCGACATCTGTAACCAAAGCCACAAAAACGAAAATTTCTGTTATGGGTGTCAAAAATTGAAAAAAAGTTTTTTTATAGGGGGAGAATGGAAGCCCAGGGTACACACATGTCTGTAGCCGATTTGTCCTGGATTAAATTCGATACTTACTTCCGGATTCGTATGAAAAATGAACCTATCCATGCATAAGAAATGTGCAAGAGGGTACAGAATGTGTGTCAAAGTACATTCCGTTACGCAGGCAAAATTTCAGCAAGTTTTCCGAGAAAATAAATCAGCTACGTATCAAAATAAAGGGAAAAACACTCGATTAATACTACACATACCAATGGCAAGACTAAGTGATAGAACCATATTGGAATGTGTAATTCGAATGCAAATAGTAACATTTCATGGTAGCAAACAAACTAGATATGTAAATATTAAAAAATGTAGAAAGAAAACGAGCCGATCCATCAGGCAGGATCTAGACAGATCTAGAGTCAATTATAGATCATCAATTACCTAGATCATGGGACCAGTTACGTTGCTGAACTGCCACTAAAAGCCACCACAAACAGATTTTTCAGTTATATACGATTGTTAGGGGTAAAACATGGCATTTCAAGAATTTTTATCAATGGTAATTAATGAATTTATATTTACAAGTCACGTTCACGTCATGAGAGCAATGAGAATGAACTTATTAATTGATGGGCATCACAATTAGGAAAAAATAAGAAGATGTATGTATAGTAGTAGGATAAATGTGACGAATAAAAACAAACTCACAGTTTTTGCATTTGCATTTTTTGATCAGTGTCTCGTCCTTGATGTCCTCGTGACATGCCTTGCAGTAAAACCACGCCCTGAAACACGAAAAAGAAGTCCGTCCAATTTTTGTAATCAATATAAAGAAGAGACAAAAAGAACAGAAAAATAAAAGAGTGTCATACAACATTTTTCAATTACATTATCTATTTAGATTTACTGTTTCATACAATTTGAAAGTTGAAAAAATTAACAAACATTTTTTAGTCAAATTTTTGTATTATTTTTTTTTTGGTTGCTTTTGTATGTATGTTTTTCTTAGTTTTCTTACCTTTTGACTTCGTCTGCTGACTGCGCAATAAAGAATCCCTGAGTATTCGCGACGATTTTCGCTCCTCTTGGGTTGATAGAAATTTTCGTGTCCGCACCTTCTGACCCTTTGACCTCAATGGCCAAAAGCAGTAGTTTCAATTTGGTGAAGCACAACCTACCAAATATTAGTGTGTCAAAGAAATGTGCAATGTTGACTTTTATTCATTTAAGTACAATTAGATTTCTAAATATAAACAATGAGAAAATTTGAACAAACTTTGTCGTTTGTAGAAACAATCTCATTTCAAAATCATTCAGTAAAATAAGCAATTTAATGCACGCCAGTTCATGCATGCTGCTATGTAATGTTTATTGTCGAAAAATCAATATTTTACCTAAGAATAAACTAAAATAAACATTCATGCAAGAAGCCGTAGCAAAAGTGAGAAAGAGCTACTAAAAAACACAGAAGCAAAGAAGAATACGCAAGCAAAAAGTTAAAAGTGATTCCGTTAGTACTCTAAAGTACCGTTAAATTCGCTTGAATCGTTATTGTAAGCTCCATCCCCCAAAAAACAGTCTTTGAAAAACAAACCAGTTGCAATAATAATAAATCTAAAAACTGATTCCAGTGGTGGGACCTATTCTATGGGGTCAAATCCATAACACGCAAACACAGAACAATCTACATCTTAGAAAATGATCTCGTTAGTAACATAAAAACTGCATTAATCAGTGTAAAAGCGCGGACATTTCCGGCCCAAGTCGCATTTTCTCTGTTTACAAAAATGATCAAATTTGAAGCGGAAAAAGCGACTTAGAGTCCGGAAATGGCCGCAAACCGCGCCAGTTGTTATGCTAAATGTCTAGATTTTGACAGTATTTGTGTTGCGTGTGGTAAAAGAGCTTACTCGCTGGCCTGGGGGAATGTCATGCCTGTGAACGAGGGGGACAGAGTCTCAGTGTACATCTCGCATCCCGTGCCTTGCAGGTAATCGTTCTGCCAGACTTGCGTATCGGGGGACTGAAACCACAATACATCGCCACTCAACACTTGGCATGAAACAAACCACAACCAGCCAAGAGCTGCTGCTGCTGGCACCTCTCTTAAGACGCATATGGTGGAGAAAAAACAGGAACAGGAAGGGAGAAAATCCAAGTAGATGAAGAACATCAACAGCAGATATACACAAAAGCTTGCGAAAATCAACCAGAATGTACGCAGCGTCGATAGGTTTTGTGTCGAGTTTGTCACGGTTCTGGAACGACCGGGAGCGGCCTCACCCAAATCGTGGCCCATGTGTATACCAGGAAAATAAAGTGTAAAAAAAACTATCTTAGTTTTGAAAATGTTGTATGTGAATCACACTCCAAGGCTTGAAAGAATAAAAGATGTTTGCATTCGCATTGTCGTTTTCTGAAATAGTCCCTAAAGTGGAACTTTTTCGGACTCTTATGTCATTAATTGAAATCAGCCGTAATGTTGACATGATAGTCGGTAAACTATGTTATTCAAATGTTTATTCTCATTTAAACACGTACGACTTCAGAACAAACCGTAAACCCCAAAACTAAAGTTATTTTTTTACACTCGTCTATCGACTCAGAGAATAAACTCCATAATTGTTCGTGATATAAAATTCAAGCTTTGTGTGTCTTGTTATACAAATATTTATTTAGTTTTCAACAAATTAAAAGAGAAATCTTCATAGTAGGTTGTAAGTATGTTGATATGCATAACCTAAATCTGTAAAATTGATTTTTTTTTGTAAAAGTTTCATTTATTGAAGACAAATATAAATTTGAGAAATAAAGTATATTGTAGATTCTTCGTTTAAAATTTACGGGTTATTAGTCAAACTAGTCCATTCTTTCTTTGGTTCTGTAAAGTTTTAAAACAGACACTTTTGGGCTTTGTGTGTCTAGACTAAAAAAAATAATTCGAAATTCGATGACGTTTAGGATTTTTTCATATCCATATTCGCAAATTAAACTAAACTATAAGAAATTATCAAATAAAAAATAGTATTCAAAAAAACACATCAAAATTAAAATCATATAGCTTTATAAATAACACTTTAAACGACAAGTATTCCTATTTTTATAAATTATCATAAACAGCATTATTTCTTACATACAGGGTATTTAAAAAATGCTGCACTAAAACTATGGTACGTTGTCTAGAAGCACTTGGTGAGTGAGGGAAAAAGATTTAAAAAATTCTTGATGTTAAATTTGCACGTGGATGAAGGTTTATTTTATGGTAAAATCAAAAGAGTTGCCATGGAGTAACTCAATTCTTCAATTCGTTGTTGCCTTTAAACGTTGCCGCATCGATTTTTGCATAATTATCGATAATTTAGAACAGGTAAATCCCATTGAATGTTAAAGACCACAGACACTGCGTTAAAGATTGTTAATCTACCTTCCATTCTGTATGTTTTAAATGCAATTTGAGTGTTATTTAGTAATAATAAGTACAACTAACAACGTTTGTGAAATTCTTACACAAAACCCCCACGGTGCAGAAAAATAAAAACCAAGAATTTTTTATATATTTCCCTCGCTCACCAAATGCTTCTAGACACCGTACGATAGTTTTAGTGCGGCATTTTTTAAACACCCTGTATGTTTTCTGTAACAATTTTCTAGTGCTTTTAAGCAAATTTCTTATTAAAATGTAAAAGTTTTGTCAACTAGGTTTCATCCCGAGGTTTAAACGTCTTTTCAGCGTTTTCAGATGTTGTTTAAACTTTTTCTAAACAATTTAAAAGCAATTTAATATTTCTTTAATAGTATACAGAGTGTTTCATCGCGCCCCAGAAAAAACCCCACGTAAGGTGGCAAACATAGAAAAAAATGTCTAAAAAATCTATTTATAAAAATTTCGGAATTATGGGAGATTAAATTTTGCACTTTGACTATTTATTTCTGTTGTTTCCAAGTTTTTTTGCTACAGTCTATTAGAAGAGGAAGTTGTATCCTAAATTGTAACTATGTTTAATGTTATTTGTGGCTTTTATTGGCAAAATTTTTGTACCTTTACTACAAATTTATGAAAAAACATATACAGGATCATCAGTAACATTAAATAGGCAAAAAAAGTCAAATTCTAAAAAATATATGTCAAAATTTTTTGACAGATAGAATTTTTTTAAACATTTTTGCCATGTTCCTGGTACGAAGTGATCCAGAAAGGCTGAGTCTGTTAGTAACATTTGTTAATTTTGTTAATAATTTGAAACACTGCAACCGGATACGGTTTTGCTTAACAAATACTTAACGTACAAACCCTAAAAACTGTTGAATTGTTGTTAATTAAAAGCGTACTCCAATGGTAACCTTTAAAAATTAGAGTCAGGATTGCCAACAGATTCATTCATTGTGGATCACTTTGTATTTTATCTTACTTGGAGTTTTTCTCTGGGGACTGAGTTCTGAAACACCTTGTATAATATTGAGCATATAATGGAGGCTACAATTCAAGAGGATGAAGCTTATACATGAGCCAACGGTGAGTGAATTATAGCCAATATATGTGCGAGTTTCAAATACGACGTTTTATCTACTTACAAAATTTATATTTATTATGACAGATTTGTAATTTATGATAAGTCACAGGTGTGATTTATGAGTAGCATAATATACTTATAGTTACGTAAATAACAAACGTATTATTTAATGGTCGAAGATAAAATATGTAGTTTTATAATTGTAAGGTTTTACCTAAAATACAACATTTCATATTCCAACTATTCGTATTCCATGTTATGAAACACTGTGTACATTTCAAATTATTTGTAGAACTCTCCGTAGGCTAAGTAAGGCTACAAAACGTGTTATTTTTCGACGTAGAGCAAAATATGGTGGATGCGCCGGGCTAATAAAACCTAGAATGTTCCAACCAAGAGATTGCATTACATGGGTGAAAAATACCCTAAAGCATTTTGACGTTATTTTGACCACCGAGATTTGAATTATTAAGTTGTATTATTGTTAAAATAATGATTGTTTATTTAAACAAACGCTTTATTAACATTTTTTACTTTTATATCTATACAGAGTGTTTTTTTTACAAATAGGTTTGCTACTTGTACACACACTATGTCGCATTTTCGTTTTTTTATTGGGCCTTTTTTTAGTTGTTAATTTTTTACTGGTGTGTTGCTTGTTAGTCTGTTTGTGCATTTTACAAAAATTTAGAAATATCTTTTAAAATTGATTTGAAAATCACACAAAGTTTGAATAGGTTTAAACACGCGCGTTATGTGTAATTAAAAGAAACAATTTTTTATTCTGTAAATTCCAATATTTATGAAATATAACTTCAACTATTTTGTTAAAAACATTATGAAGAAGGAATATATTTAATCTTATAAAAATATCAGCAAAAATAAAAAAGCAATTTAAAACTAAACAATCAGTCGGGTACAAAATACCCATGTTATGCATCCTAGGGTTAAGAGTTTGCTTTTCTACTTTTTTATTTTCTTTTCTAATTTAAATGGTTATAATAAATCAATTGTAATGAAAATATTTTATTGTATCTTATTTTCACCTTTCAGTATTTAAGTTGAATCTTAAACTTGAAAGTTTTTACGTGGCCATAAACAGTTTTTGTCTTTATTACCTTTGATAGTACAACTTTTTTGTACATACATAAGCGGGTATTGGTTTTAAATTTAAAATAAATATTTTTAAATTTAATTCAGAGATGACGCGTTTGCGGGAAAAATGTTAAATAAAAATGTTGCACACATATTTATTTTGGTTATATTTTTTGAAATTCATTGAAACAAAGCCCAATTTTCCTATTTCATAAGAAATGGAAATAGTGGGGTACTTGATTCACACTGGACCACGTTTGGGCCTTAGCCGCCCCGTTTCGAAATTGTGAATGCTCTGCATGAACATGAGTGCATCGTTTCTTGTTCTTGGTCAGCCGACTTACTCTGTGGCCTGAGCAAATGGCATGCCTATAAACGACGGACTGAGCGTCTCGGTATACATCTCCATTCCCGTGCCTCGTAAATAGTCATTGGTCCACACCTGCATGTCTGGAGACTGCAACCATCGAACACTCAATAAAGCAATCAAGGGGAAAAGTAATCGATAAGCATCGCGAGTTTTGATTCTGCTGTTGATTGGTTAACTCGTGTATGATTCTGGGGAATGATCGAGCTTACCGTTTTGAACGAACGCATGGCGAATAAGTTTGCCATCATTGTTGAAAAACCGGGAGCTAAACAGGATTGAGCTATGAAACCTAGTTTGAGTTCGGCGAGGCAAATGACGTCGTCGCCTTGCTTCCAGTCCCACGATGGAATGTTCAGTAGGTAAGCCTGCAGGAAAGAGATTTACATCAACCTAGGTTCAGGTCAAAGGTCGTACCTTGTTGTGGTACTGCATCAACTGGATGATGACCCTAATGTCATCACTGTAATTCTTAATTGAAATGACTCGCATGATGTTGGCTGCGTCTTCAGCATCGGGATCTTGGCAGTATTTATTGGCGAGGACAAGACACGCATCAGCTTCGTGTACCTAAAGAAGGCGCAATTAGTGCCTTAAAACTCCTCCATAGTGGTCAACAAATCTCCCAATTTTTTGATAGTGATAAATCACTAAAAACTGGGAGATTATTTTTCGTAAAAATCTGCTCTAATACGTAACAGCCAAAAATCTACAACTTTTGCATAAAATCATGCACTCAAACGGTTAATTTTTTCTACCAATCCACAAAACAACAATACTAACTTCATTGCAACAGTGAGCATCTGAAGACGTTTGCGTTAATTACAAAACATGCAATTTGGTTTCATTAGTGAGACTAAAATTTGTCATTTTTTCTCTTCATGTGGAGACTTACCACTTGCTCGAAGCTCCCTATTTATTTTTTGAGGGGGCTATTCTGTTAGTCTAAGTTTAATAAATAAAAAGTATTTTGGTAAAAATAAATCGAAAAAATTAGTGTTTTGTTGGGGTAATTTGATTCGTCCCTAGACAGGTATTTACAGTAGTGACAACTTAAAAACAGTTAACATATCGAAAACAACAATAACCATCGTGTGGTACTGTCCACTTACCTTTACCCTTTGGAGGTCAATAGGGTTCATAATGGTACCTTGGAAGAACTCTACAGTTGTGAAATGTCTCTTGAAGAGACCTTCCAGTTCAAGGTCTGGTGGTTTCCTGCACATTTTAACAGTTAACCACATAAACAACGACAGAAAAGGACATTTTGATTAATATTTATGTGAACTACGATCCTTGGGCATACACCAGACCAGCAATGTACCATGCAGCAGAAAGGCCGTGACTACCCTACAGCAGCGTTGCGACTTCTTCAAGAAGAAGCAGCAAACGCCCAACAAAAAATTTGTGCGGCGAGGTAAAAAGCGAAATTTAATAAACACACGATCCATAAGAAGTACTCCTTGGGTACCTTGACGCGTTCAAGGTCTACAGCATTCATCATCGTTCCCTGAAAAAACTCCACAGTCGTGTAGTGGCGTTTGAGGAGACCTTCCAGTTCCAAGTCGGGTTCTTTTCTAAAAAGGGCACACAGTCATTTGCAGAGAGGAGCTTAATTCGAATGCTGGATCGGCTAGAAGCCCTCCAGAGACAGATTAATTAATCATCAAGAAATGGCGCTGGCTTAAGAGCTTACAAGAAAGTTAATTCAACGTAAATCTTTAGCAAAGTCAGAATGAATAAATACGTTTCAAAATCAACCAGTTGCACCATAAAAAAAATATCTAAACAAACAAAACCTCAAAAATGAAAATGCTCTACAAAAATAATAATGCTACAATTATACACTAACACTAACTTAAATTTATATTAAAGAAATCGATATAAATACAGGCTGTTTCACAGAAAAAAATCACCCATATTGTCATTTCAGTTAAAAAATAAAATCGACCTATTCTGGATTTGCCAAATTTTTTTTACCAAGATATCCACCTTGGGAGTTTTCTCTGAAAAGTGTTTCAAGTGAAAACTTTGCACTTATTTAGAAACAAAAATTATTATTTTTAAAGAACCTTGCCTGATAATAATCAACTAAATAATTGCAATTTGCGCATTTGGAATCGTTTTCAGTTTATTTTTGGCTGAGACAAATACTATGTACCTATTGATTCCCTATTTTATATCAACATTTTTCCTGGTTTCTTTTAAACGAACTCTGTTCAGAAAAAATAATATTAGTAAAAATTCCACTACAGGATGTTCTATCTAAGACGTTATAGCTTATATGTGTAACCTTAGATAAGAAGAAAATGCGCTACTCAAAAAAATCCAAAGTTAATCAAATATTTTCCTGAAAGCTCTTGTGGAACTGTAATAGTAGATTACATACCGAGGTGGGAGGTGTTTCATTACCAAGTCGAAATTTGATGACGCAGTTAGCAATAAACCGAGCTTTGTATACTATTTAATTCGCAATCACACTTCTTAAAGAACAGAAAGCCAATAAAGAATTTATTAAATTTTGAAAAACATTAAGGTTGGGCTTTAAAAAAGTGGCCATTTTCTTATCAATTTTCGGGTTGGGAAGTGGCAATTTTCCAATATGATCTGTCATATTACATATCAATTGATAAGGAAGAGACTACACTTCCCAACCTGAACTTGATATTTCATATCAATTGTTAGAGTGGAGTAAAAACTAAAAGTACACACCTGAGCATGTATGCGTAAATGACTCGGTCGAGTCCACTTTAAAAGAGAGGGGAGTTTTTGGCAGCAGTGGCGTGTAGATTCGCTTTATTTGGAAAAAACGTCACTGGTCCCCTCCTTTCTAATGTTTGCGCGCAATTAGGCTCCGCCCAGGTGTGTAGTTTTAGCTTTTACCTCACTTTAAATGAAGTTGAAATGTCATACGTTTCAACTTTTCATATGCAAGGTAATTTGATTATTATTTTATGATTGTGAATAAAATATATTATATTTTTCAACTATTAAAAGTCCATTAATTGAGAAAGTCTTGGATAGGATACCCTGTTGTGAAACAATAATAACAACATTAGTGAATCAAACCTCCATTTTTAAATTAGTTGTTATTATTAAAAATATTTTTTTAATTGAAGAATGATTTTTTTATTAATTTTTCATTATTTCTTATGTTCTTCGTGTATGAGAATTGATTTGAAGATAAATTTTACAGAATAGTAAATTAAACAAAATATACAGAATCATATTTCTAATGTTGATTTAATTGTTTAAACTCTTCGAATAGTCATAGCAATAATAAAAAATATCTTTCATTTTCTCATAAGTGTGACGACTAAAATGAAATACGAGTATATTAACAAATGTTTTAGATGTTTGAAAGAAACATAGTAATAATTTTGAACGTTTCTGTTAATATTTTGAAAACTGTTTTAAATAAAACAAAATAAATTTCTACCTGTGTAGGAACACAACTTCGACGTCAACATCCTCCCTGTCTTCGTGTAGAAAGTCCTTCAAGAAATGGGACACCGATTCGTAGGTAATATGTCCACAGACCACAATATGCCTAATTTTGACAAAACACAATTAGTACAATTGAATTTTTGTGAAGAAGAAATGTCGTTGCACGAAATAATCATGCCAAAAATGGAACTATTCAGTGCAACAACTCGATGAAATGACTGTGAAATCACAAAATCTAGCACAAACTAATTTAAATTGAGAACCAAAAAATGAATGTAGGGTGATTTTTCGAAAAAAAAACCAAACTTGTTAGGATTAGTAATTTTAGTCAACCATCATGCAAGAAAAAAAAACTTGTTTGAAAGTTTTTTTTTCTATGGATTTTCCTATTCTATTATGTACAAGGTGAGCGCCTGTGCACACAGCCTGGCCACGCACAAATTCTTGTGCCATGCATCTCACTCCGGTGGTCCGTTGGAGACGGCCACCCCCAACACCCCCAGGCTGACAAACGAATGACACCCACGACTTCCCGGAAGGAAAACACATCGACACAACAATAAAAACAGACCGTTGAGAAGGTGGGAGAACATTAAAAAGGGACGAGAAGCGTGCAGGATAAAATGGTTATAATAAACAGCAAAAGGAGGAAGCGGCGAGTTTCCTTGTGTTTAGTGGAAACCCTTCGCTCCTCGTTCTATACTGTTCTGGTCCTCACCTTCTGCCTCTTTCGTTCTTCAGGGTGCCGCCGTACTTTGGTCTAGTCCCGATCAAGTCAATGATCTCGGGGATACAACTCGCAAAAATCGCCTAGACGCCAGGACAAGAGACACATTGGTCGCATTTTTACAGAGGCATGGGGACGGTTTTGACCCAGTCAAAAACAGCCCCCTTAAAGCTAAGGGAGGGAAGGGGGGCGGTCTGGAGACGACTAGGAGATGGGATTTTTTTCGTACAATTAAACATCGATTATGCATTTAGTCCAATTAGAGGAGCCTTACAGGTCGTTTTAACTCTCTTTGAGATTTTCTACCTAGATGACACAGGCGATTTTATCTCGATCAATTTGAAAATCCTGCACTTTTGTTCGATGCAGCGCGGCCGTGCGTGGCTCTAGCAGGCTGTGCAGGCTTGTTTAGGTGCTACTAATCGACTACTAAGGACCAGCTATGGTCTAACTAGACTCCACTCATCCCATTCTGTATGCTCGAACCCCACGGATCCGAATTTTTTACACACATTGACAGAAATTTTCACAAAAAGGGAGGGAGGGTGGTCTAATTTTGTTAAACTAAACAAAACTAATTAGTGGATTAAGCATACAGAATGCAGTTATCTGATCGGCTGCTAGCTCAGCATGCCCACCCAGCAAACAACCAGTTATGTAACAAACAATTATTTCTGTTCAACGTTTTGTTTTTTTATTTATTTTTTTATATTTAGTAATATAGTTAAATCAGGATGAGTAAGGACTTTTAATAATGTGAACAAAGTAATAAATGTGAAGTTTTTCTTAAACCTTAATTTTTTACAAATTAGCATGAACTATATTTTTTTCGGAATCTTGTGTCATTATTCATGTTTACATTTTTTTCTTAACAAATTTGAAGTGGAGTGTAATCTTTTACAGTGTTTTTTTATTACTTTATTCCCGTGAATTGTATAATATTTTTTCTCTTATAGGTATTAATAATGTTGATGTTTATTCCAGATACGAATAGAAGTAGTACAACTTTATTCTAGAAATGGTACTATTATTTGATTTAGTTTTTTTTTTATCTTACTCGATATAATAATGTTGGTGATTTTTTTATCTTATTGGTGAAAAAAATATATACCACAAAACTTCCCTCAAAATTCTTTTTATGAGTTTTAAACAACACTTTACCTCATCATCTATCTGTTTCAGGTCGGATAGTGTGCAGAAAACTGCATTTTAGATAACATGCATCAATAGGGGGTCTCGCCGCATTACACACGCAATTTGTTAAAAACATCAATGGTACATAAAAAATGCAATAATTACACTTTACACATTTCAGTTTACTACTTTTAAATAATTCACGAGCGTTTAATATCGAATTTTCATCGTTTTGTTTGCCTAAATAAAAATTATTACTTTGTTTTTATGAATGTATCTATAAGAAAAAATGTTGTATCAGACATATTAAGAAAAGTCGGCATTATGCTCGTAATTCCTTTCTGAAACTAGTACTCGTTTTACTTGTATAATAAACTACTATTTGCTCATAGTTGCAAATAAATTTGTTTTGGACTCTTATTTTCTCTCTTTGTTTATCTAATAAATTAGAGATGAATATATTTTTGTCTAACAGCGAGCTTTAGTGTCACAATTACAACGAATTGAATTGAATTTTGTGCTAAAACTTCTAAAGAATTTTGAGATATTAGTTTTTTAGTTATGGTATTATTACTAAAATTCCTAATACAAATTTTAAATATTTTCATATTTTTTTTAAGTAAAAGATATTTTAATGTCATTTTGTGTCCTTTAATTTAAAAGTTACAAAAAAAATAGCAAAAGTTTTATTTAAATTAAATATACAGGGTGTAATAGAACTTGCGTGCCCAGAGAAAAATTTCGATTAAGATAAGATACCAGGAACATGGAAAAATGTTTAAAAAATTGTATCTGTGAAAAAAATTTATTTTTTGACTTTGACATTTTTTATGTCTATTTAATGATACTGATGATCTTGTATATGTTTTTTTATAATTATTTAGTAAAATTACAAAAATTTTGACAGTAAAAGTCACAAATAACATTAAACAGAGTTACAATTTAGGATACAGCTTCCTTTTCTAGTAACCTGTAGCAAATAAAACTTGGGTAGGTACTTTTCCAACAGAAATAAATAGAGTCAAAGTGCAAATTTAAACTCTCATATCTTCGAAATTTTTATAGATAAGGTGCGAGTTCTGGTGCACCCTGTATATCCCCGGTTGTTAGGTAAGAACAAATTAATGTCGAAAAACAAAGAGAAAGCAACAGACAATGTGAGCTGAATTGAAAAATCTCGTGTCCAAAAATAAATAAATAAATAAATTGCTGGTGACACAAAGTAATAATTAAATAATATATTATTTATAACTCTTTAAACTTTTAACTGCAATAATTTGTACTCATGAATAAAACATTTATTTGGCTTTTAGTTTAACACTCGGGGTAGTGAGTAGAAAACACCACAATACACATGAAACGTTACGCAGTTTTCGTGTTGCATAAAACAGGTTTGTTTGCTGGGATAAAACCAACTCTAAAAGGTGATTGCTAACACCAAAACCATCACCGAGCTCCGAACAAATGTTTCAGTTTTTTTCCAAATAAAAATTTTTATGTCGGAAGGGTGATATTTTCGGCTAGAACAACGCTAATGTTACCGAATAGCGCAAAGCATAACCCAAGTGCTACAAACTGAGTAAAAATAATAATCACAGCGTCATTCCGAGTGGTTATAATTAATATATAATAATGTATAAAAAGTATGTAAAAAGATGAATGGAATATAATAATAATGTAGCAGCCTTGGTTTAATACCTGCGTCGTATGTCTTTGCTGTACTTTCCGCCGTACTTGGGTCGATTGGCAGCGAGCTCTGTGATCTCGGGAATCCAGCTGGCAAACACGGCCTAACAACCCACACACCCCATCAGGCTCCTCCTCGGACCCCAATTTTTATATTTATATACTACTCTACGATTAGTTAAGACTAACATACGACAACAACGTTTTGCAGCGGCTCGGCTAAGACCTAAGTGACGCGACCACGGATTCTGCACGACCAAAATCAAATTAACTCATAATTTAAAGTGACCAAAGCTTGGTGTGCAAAATTATAGAAATTCGTCTTGAAAATTTCTTAGTGCAAAGATAGTTAAGAATGGACTAGAGGCTGCTTATACTTTGATCGTCTAAGAGATCGCGCGTAATTATGTAATAATTACTCATTTGAAAGTCAAAATTACAATGTATAGTGAAATATAAAAAAATTAACGACCAACATTCAACATTCCAAGATCACGTATTCTTTCCTTACCTATTCTATCTCTTCGGTGACCACAGTATAGTATAGTTTCCAAAATAATACCAATTACTACTAATTAACATTAATAAGTTTGTTTTTTTATCCATTTTTTTAACGTTTGCATCTACAGGGTGATTGAAAAATGTCGAACCAACTCTTGAATGGTGATAGAAGACTTTCAGCTAAGCATAAAAATGAATTCAGATTTTTGTTTCTAACTTTTTTTTTTTGCACAAAAAAAGAGTTGGTAATTTTCATAGTATCATGTAGGCATCTTAGTATTTTTATTTCCGATGTTCCGATGTAATCTTTGAAGAGCTATATCTCGTGAAAAAAGGCTCAAACAATTTTTTGCCATGGGAACTTTTAACCTTGGTTGGATGTCCTTTATCACCACCCAAGAGGTGGTTCGGCACTTTTAAATCACTCCGTATATGTTTTAAAACTTAAAAACTTAAATATTAAGAGTCAACCAAAAAAATGCACCTTATAAAAAAAAAAACATTTAGAATACGTATAATTTTTCTTATTTAAGCGGGCTACAATTTTTTTATAAGATTAACCCTAATCAAGAAAATTAGAAAACATTTAATTTTAATTTAATTGACTCTGCGATATAATTAAACTTGGTTACGTGAACAAATATCCAAAAAATTTCAAAAGAATTCTGTTATTTTTCAATAGATTTTATTTTTGGTATGTTTTTAGTTTATTCAATTAAATTATATATTATAAATTATACACTGTGTCAATTTTAAAACTTGCAATCGGCAATTTCTCTCAACTGAAAAAGTTATTAATAATCACTCAAAACTGTTTTGGTGGTTCTTAGGGGGAATTAAAATGACATGATAAGTGACACACCTCCACCCACCCTTGAATATAGTAAAAAAAAATGAAAATTTAACGTCTTCGTTTTTGAATAAGAATTCAAAAAGTATTATTAGGTTGAACTTTTTTTCTATCCACAATTACTCTAAATAGCAAAAATAAACAGCATTGAGTAGATTTATAGATATTAAAACTTCGAAGTAGAGGAAGTAAACAAAGCAAAAAAATTAACAAATTATGGAGAGTCAAAAACTGATTTTTAAAATTACGGGATTATCAATAAATCACAGTCCTTGGAAGCAAAAACTGAAAGTTTTATTTTTTGTCACCTTTCTTATACAAATTTCGTGGAAAGCATTTGGTCACTTGATTTTGTCAAGCTTCGTGCAGAAACCATAATTTTCCCTTATAGTTTTCTCGTAAATGTCCCAAACCATATAATACAGAAACTAAAAAAGGAAAGGGAGAAATGTCTAGAAAACAATCCCAGAACTAAAGAGAAAAGTCGTGTGTTTTTGGTTTTGGCAGACGAACCAGACAACAACCACACAAGTGCAAAAAACATGTCGTTTTTCTTTCAAGTAACCATAATAGAATAATGCAAAAATCTACAATCTAGGATTAGTGCACATTCAAATTATTTGACTATACTGAGTGATTAATAAAATATCAAACTAAGGAATTAAAACTGTGTGCGGGGCTGGCTGTGTTTTCGTAAAATGAAAATACTAAAATTAAATGAAATAGTGTGTGTTTCATGCATATTTCCGGCTGTACAAGTCGATGAATTTTGAACGTATTTGTGAGGAAAAAATATGAGTCGTGCTATTTAAAAAATTGGCATAGTTTCCACGAAAAAAAAAATTATTTTTGGGACGAAACATATTTCCTCCTCGTTCCGAAACAATACCTCTTTCCATGTTCTCTCTTGTACTCGCCGCAGTATTTGGACCTAGTGCCTACTAGATCTATGATTTCTGGAATGCTACTAGCAAATATCGCCTGGAAACAAACATTCCTGATGCTTTTAGTTCAAATGACCGGCGAAAAACCGGATCGGTGAAACCGATCCGTGTTCTTCGGTTAGTGCTAAAACTAAAAGCCGGTTTGGAATCAGCACATTAAAAAGCACAAGAAGCGTTTCTGCAGTGCCGAGAAGAGTGAAACCATGCAAAAAGTGGTAGAAAATGTCAAAATACACAAAACAACATCTGCACAAAGAACATTTTCGTACAATAATAACAACAATACCTAAAGATCCCAAGAAAGGTTGCGGACATAGGGTAATATATTTCGTGTGTGTACGGGAAGAGTTGGTTCGGGGGTTTACAATCAAAAAAATTTCATATTATAGAAAAGCCGACTCAGATATTTACAAGATAACAGCTTCAGAAGCTCCGAAGCACCTGAACATTGCAACATTGCTGTTGTCGGTTTTTAATAGAGTCAGCAGAATGGGAGTTCTCTTTTTAAATTATTACACTTACCAATCCAACAAGCAGGAAAAACACCAAAAACGTCCGGCCCAACACGGTGTGACAGTAGACATCGCCGTAGCCCACAGTAGACATCGTCACAATTAAAAAGTAAACGCAAGTCCAGTAGGGCAAAGGGTTGGGGTTTTTAAACTCGAGAGGGTCTCCAGAGTTCTCCAACTGAGACAAAACGATTAAGAGTGGATTTTTTGCAACTTTTTTCACTCACCAAGTGTATAATTCCGGCCGCCGTGAGCCACACGGATATAAATATGGACACTAACTGAGCAAGTCGTATGGAACTGGAAGTCTTCAGTATGTTGAGGTATTGGAGAATATCCGGAACAGTCATGAGACGCAAAGCTCTCAAAAACCGAAGACCTAAAATGGTTTATTGCTTGGTTTCAGAATATTTGTCAAAAATTGACAAAATTACCAATCCATGTTCGGTCCAAGTAAATGGAGACAAAGGACGGGGGTATCGTGAAGTAGTCTACAAACGAGTACATCTCTAGCATAAACCATAACTTATCGCTAGCTGCTATAAACTGTAAACAGGAGAAAAGAGGTTTTAGTGGCTGTTAAGTGCCCATAAATCAAGCACTTGAAACCAAGCGAATTCAATGTGCTCGAATCGGGCCATCCGCGGTACTCACTCTTATTAAAAAATAGACCATAAAAAATATGTTGAAGGCAAGGTCAATTTGTTGCGTGATATTGTTGCTCCATTCCTGGCAGCGTTCCACACCTTCACTAAAAACAATATAATCGTCATGAGTGCTTAATTTAGGCGCAAAAGGTCTTACTTCGAGGCATCGATGAAGTAGATTATAAGCGACGCTATGCTGAGAATGAACACCAGGACCACCTGAAATTTAAATCGGGATTTATGAGAGACAAAATGAAATTCCTGGGGAAAATGCGACTGTGACGAATGAGGAATTCAGGTTATTAAACTCAGCTTGTGATTGAAGAAGGAGTTTGATAGGATCGAAGCACGTTTAAAGAAACTTCCGACACGCTAACACGCAAGGGTCATGGTAGTTTTCAGGTTCATGGGGATATTTCCTAACAAGAGTGCTCGCAGGTGGAGTTGTCATTTCTGCTACCCCAGCGAAATTAATTGTGACAAATTATTGATTTCTTGAGGGAATTAGAACAACGTTCGGCCCGATCTACTTGTATACACACATGTCGAAGAACTGAGTAAATATAATAAATTTCCCTCTATTTGCTCACTTAACCACCAGTGGATGGCGAAAGAAGGTTAATTTTAGAACTTGGACACGAATAAATAGGAACAAACCCACTATCTCAAGTAATTAAATCACTCGGAATACTTCATCCCTCTGTTTGTCAAGCCTAATCTAGGATTAGTTAATTGGTGTTAAGTCACGTTAAGGCTTAATTACACGTCGCACATTATTAATCTTCTTAAAAAACTATTAGAACTCTTGCGTCGTTTGCTACAGGCGATTCTCATACAAATTGTCTTTTTACTTCCGCTTAATTAAAGAGGTGAGGCGCCATTGCTGCAACTTGCTCTGTAGTCAAGCCGAATGTTTGCTGAATTGGGAGTTAATTAAGGTTCGTTTTCACACTGTCATAATTGGTTGAAAGAGGAGAAAAGAAAGCTGAGTAAAAAATGCTAGAGATTTTGGTTTTAGTAGAAATAGGAATAAACCAAAAGTGGTCATTTCCCTTTTTTTGGTTACTTCTCGCTTTGTGGATCGATGGTTGCCGACAGGAAATTAATTTTTTCATTAGCGGAAATACAATTCACAGGTGCACATTCCCTTGTGTAATTCTAGTCCCTTAATCGATCACTTCTTTCGACATTTCTACATGTTTACAAATCACACGTTGTGGCGAACATTTGATCGATTTGAAACTAAAGACGTAAGCCACTCAGAGCGCTGATCTTATTATTATTTTACAGGAAAATTCGATTAGGAATGAAGAAAATGATATATATGGTTTGTAATTTGCATCGATCGTTGGTATAGTCCAGAGTCTGAATAAATAAAATGTATTACACAACGATGGATTGTAATTAATTGTAAGACAAACGATGTGATGATTGTTTTAGAATGGCCGTTTGTATGAGTAGGTTGTAATGGTACATATCGATTTGGAAAAGCTGACGCAGTTAGTTATTCAAATAGAGAAGAATAGTAATGGTTTCATAACTTTGTATTTATAATACTCATTTCATATTTATTATTTTGTGTCTATTATTATCGATATGGTCGGTTGGTATTTACATAAGGTTGTATTCATGTGGAATTTATATATCCAATAAAATTTGTTATTATGATTTTGATTATTAAATCGATATATTCAATTTTTCTTATGCAGCTCGTCGAATGCAATGTACATACATACTCGTATATACACATTTCAATATATCGATGTAACATCTTCAGTTTATTCAAATTTCAAACGTCTCAAGATTTTTCAGACAAATACATTTTCTGACCTTATGGCTAAAGGGGAACATGTTTGAGTTTGCGTCAGATGGCGCGGAATTTATTTTCTCGTTACTATTTACATTATTTAAAATTGAAAAAAAGCTTTGTACATCATAGCTATTTATGTATCAAGTACGCAAAATAGGGTTTTAAGGGACGAATCGTAATTAATGACGAGGCGAAGTAGGAGCCGAGTCTTTAATGAGAGAAGTCACCTAAAACCTTTTGCATACGTGTTGCATACAAGATTTTTTTGTTAAAGCTCCCAAAACACGAATTCACTCCTCTTACTAATTAAAAAAATTTCATTACCACAATAACCAATTTTATTTTTTAGTGTTTTTGGGGACTGAGTACCTAAAATAACTATTTTGCGTACTATTTTATTGAGTCCGGAAAAAACTCATTTTAGGGACTCAAATGAGTCCTTAAAACAGCTGTTTTCGGGAGCGTGTACAAAAAAATATTATTTGAAAACTCGCCAACATAACACTTTTTTATTTATTTAAAAAAAAAATTAAAAACTGGTATACTAGAAAATATTTCTGAAAAAACAAGGTAGGGCGATAAATCACCATTTTTTACTGAAAGGAAATGTGTTTTTATTTTCGAAATTTGATAACGGGAAAGTCATTAAAACGTGAATTTTGTATCGTTCTTTTGATTGTTCCGCCGCGCCGCGTTTTTTGCAGCTGTGAGGGAGTACACCTAAAGGAGTAGAAGATAGACTTAGAAGTATATAAAATATTTTTCTAAAAAAAAAAGTGTTAAAGTACAGAAAAAGAGAATTAAAAAAATATATGAAGATAATGTATTGTTTCCCACAAAGGTTTTTAAAAAAACTCAAAAAAACTAAAAACAGACAAATTCTCTGTATCTTCTTCAAAACACACTTTAGACTCTAACTAGTTTTGGAAAAAAAAGAGATCGTGTTTAAAAAATCATATTTTTCCACAATCATAAAAAAACTTGAACTTTTCACAATTTCAATACGCGAAATTGTCATTTGTTGTTAAGTACACAGGACAATATTTCTTTTAAGACTGAAAATTAAAAGTGTCCAAAATCGATCAAAATTTTGCCTAGGATCGAAAAAATTAAAAACTTTCAAATTGTTCCAAATGCACTCATGGAAGTGCATAAGATCCAAAAAAGTGTTAAAACGTTGTAGATTGACGAGAAATAATTTTTGAAAATTGTTGTGTATGTTTGATTACATTTCTCTAATTCAAATTCAAATACAATTCAAATAAATGTCAAAAGATGGCGGGTGCATAAGAGTGCGAAATTTAAACATGTGCACTTGTTCCAATTAGTATTATTAAAGAGAGAGCGAGAGCGCATAACGCATAAGAGCAAATAAGAGAACAATGCATAAGACAGAGTATAAGAGCAAAAGAGCTTTTTATCGTCACCCCAAATTTTTTGATTTTTCTAAGAAAAATTCAATTAAGTGTCAAAAGCTGTCGCCTAAGTGCTTTAAAACATGTGCACGTGTTCTAGTAAATATAATTTTAAATAAATTTTTATTTTTTACCTTCACTCAATCTCCATCTTTTACCGTTTTCTACATTTAGTGCTTCCAAATTTCCCAATAATTCTCAGGAAAACACAATTGCTATCGCGCGACAAACATGGTTAAATTACTTTTTAAAAAGAGCGCTTAAGCTATGACGTTTTAGTGTTAAAATACTTCTCGATTTTTGCACTTAAAAACCACTCTTTCTTTCTTATAGGTATTTCATCTTTGTTTTCTTCTTTTCTATGATGTTGCAAAATTTATTAAAAAAAATTAATAATACTTTTTAGGTGTTTATTTCTATTTTCTATTAATGGTGAATCTTTTTCCTTGTAAGTTAGCTTTTTTTTTCAATTTTCATGCTCCTTTTATCATCTAATATATTATTATGTATAAGGTATTTGATGTTGCTTTTTTCTATCTAGAAACACAATTTTTCTCTTGCCTAGAAATAGTTATACTTTTTTATATCTCATCTTGTAGAAATCCCATAATTCTTTCTAATTTTCTATTTCTCAGTTTGAAATTACTTGAAACCATATAGCTAAATACTTTTCGTGATACTTGAATGTTGTTTCTTCATATCCATACTGTCTTCATGCTTATAGCAACGATTACCTAGACCGTTAAATTTGGTAACGCACGTTGTTACGCATGTTGCTATACAAAAGATACACTCGAGAGGCTGCTTGCGTCAAGTTTGACATTATTTGACTTTATTATATTAAATAATTTTGCCAAAATCTTTTAGTATCTTGAAAAGTACTGTTATTAATTTGCTAGATATCGGCCTTATGACGTTAATAACTATCCCACAGCATTTTTACTTTTATTTCTTTTAATTATTTATGTCATATAATCTAAAATCATGCCATTTATAATAATATAAATTTTAGTCATTCAATCTTTCTGAAAGCTCCACAAAACAACATAAAGTCTAGAAGAAATAAATTCCGACGACATGTTGCGGTCGCAGTCGTTTTATGTCATCATGTAACGTCGTTTCCTTCCTGGAGGATCACCGTAAAAAAAGACAGTCCAATAACTTAACTTTTTATTATTTTCCAAAGTCCGGATAGGAACATTTGCAAGAAGATCGTCTGGTTTCAGTCAAAATATCAACAGAGTTGTTTATGACGTAGAGGAACGCTTTTCGCCTCTCTTTTTGAGGAAAAACAGGAAGCGACAAAACCAGAGTTTTAGCTATCGCACAATCGCAATAGAAGCTGGTTCTGTTTGGTCCCAGGTTATTTTATCGCTCAAGAGTTGTAATCGGAGATAAACGGGACAAAGGACGCTTGCAGGGGTTTCAGTTTACGCTGGAATTGAAGTTGTTCTATAAAATTGTTTAACGGTCTGGTTGGACGAAATAAAGTTATGGTTCGAGGGGTTGCTGAGACTGGAGTGGTGCTTTGTCTTTAAGATTAAATTAAATTTTTTATCTAGATTCTCTTCCTAAGGAAGGTCGTAGAAATACATATTTGCGGAAGCAGTGCAGTTTTAAGAACTTGTTTTAGTTGAGTACAATGAAGTAAATTACTTCATAATTTTCTATTTTAGTTGTGGTCAATTAAAATGTCTAAATTGTGTATCCAACTTCAAACAGCTTGTCCAAGGCCCATTAAAGCCCCATTAACCACCGAAACGACTTCGACAATCTCCTTTGTACGAAAAGACACGCTGAGCAAGATTTGAGCAATCGATCGATGTCTGTTTCCAACACAAAGAGTCGCAGTAGGAATTAAGAGTTCATGGAGTGAGGAAAAACCGAGCTATTCGATAATTCTCGTTCTTCATCCTCTTTAAACAGTCTCTAAGATATTTTATTATACATAAATCTGTCCATAAAGGGAATATCATGACATTTATTGAAAAATA